AGAAAACTGACACTGCTTACAGCAATTACCCAGACTGCTCCAGAAACAACAGTGTTCGTAAGCACTCTTTTTCCTTCAAAATACTCTCTTGGAAAGGAGTAATTTAGTGAGGAAGAAATGAGCGTGCTACATCAATTGATCATTATGCTACAATCACCCTGAAATTTCTGTGCGTTCCAAGCAGATGCTCTATGGAAAGTTTCCATCCAGTGTGGTGTGATCAATAACTGCCTAACAGGAAGGATGCTGGCAGCAGCAGAGATAACTCTGCCTGCACAAACCCATCTCGGACATATACAGGGAAGCTATCATCAGGGCCGGGCACATAAAGTATTTGAAATTCAATGAAAAAGCTGAAAGTGCATGTAATTAAAAGTGAGCAAAGCAGATAAAGTTAATTATACACTCAGAGGAACATTTTTTTTTATGCAGTGGGCATGGTAGTCATCACAATCAACAGCCCGTGGGGCTTGTACAGAGAGCTGACGACGCTCTGCTCACAATGAAGGAATCCAGTGCCCTAAATCAGAGCAGCCTTTTCAGAGCCATATAATCTCACATAAAGGAAAAGTACAAAGGCTGAAAAGGAGGAGGGCCCTGCTTGATGAGATCTCAAAATAAAACCAGGTTCTAATAGCAAAGGGCTTGTAACACAGATTTTAAAAAATGAGGAAAAAGTGATTTTTAAAATAAACCCTAGAACCAGAGCAAAAAAGAAAACTATGTCCTTAGCTCATGATAGCCTGTTTCCATTAAACATTTTAATTTCCATGGGGCAGGATATATATCTACCAAGAAGATACATATTTGTTTTTCCTCCCTGAGATTACAAAAACCTCAGATTTCAAGCTATAAGAATGGTCTTTGTAAAACTAGTTAATCCAGTCAAATTGAGTTAATGGCTACAAAGAGATTGATGGAATGGGCAATTTACTGTTCAATAATGAGTTGTCAATATGGGGCAAAGAGCTGCTTTGATCAGCTGGGCAATCAAATCACAGCAACAGTTCAGGGTTCGATTGATGCCTCAGCAATTAATGGTTACGATAGTAAAAAGAGAAGAAGAAGACAGATCTGACCGGGAATTTGTCTCCTCTGTGCTGAGTGGAGGGACCGACAGCAGGGCATTGTGCGCCTTGAAGCTCATTTGCACCTGGAATAATGATGAGTCACAGAATCCCCTGCGATTGAGATCTTCTGGCAATTGCAAACTTAATTTGATAATGCATCTATACTAGGACGAACTGGAAACCAGAACATACCAGTCACATACACTTTAAACTACGAGACTACTTTTACAGGTTTCCCCCTAAACTTCAACATGAGTTTTGGATCATATATCCAACTCTTGTCACAAATATTAACAGGCTGATACATTTAACTATTTAAACATTGTAAGCTTTTATGTTGAAGAAAAACCCCTAAAAATGTAGAAAAATAAATGAGGGGGGAAGCTGTGATACTTAACAAAGTTAATTTCCTTAAAATATGAAGATTGCTTACTAGTCAGTGAGGAAAGATTACATAGAGAATTGACAAAGCCAAACGAGAATTTCATAAAACAGGAAATATATCTGGTCAGTAAAATGTGAAAAAAAAAATTAACCTCACTAATCATAAAAGGAATGCAAAGGAAAAGCAACTGTTAGCAAAGCTTAAAATGGTCGATGAAAGTACACTGGGAGACAGGTCTGATGGGGTTCAGGACACGCAACCTCAAAATATCACACCTTGTGCTTTGAGGAAGTGGTAGAAGCAGGAAGGTCACTCTCACCTTCTCTGGGCCCTTCTCGCTTGAAGTCAGTTATAAAAGAATTCCCTGAACTTCCTAAGGTAGGTCGTAAGACTCTCATTCCAAAGATATTATCCCTATGCCCAAAGGAAAGAAATACCCTTATTTATGAAGATACAGGGACACAGAGAAGAATCCGAACAAACAGACCTTACTAAGTCCCCCTAATTTATTACCATCACATCACACCCCCTTTGACCAATCATACTTCTACACAACTGTCCACTCTTCATCAAACTTATCTTACAAATATACAGATGTCTTCATTTCTTTGGGTCTTCATTTCCAAAGGCTCTCATGTCACCTAAAATTTATATTAAATATATTTGTGCTTTTCTCCTGTTATTTTATTTTTATTTATTTGTTTTTTTGAGACAAAGTCTTGCTGCACTTGCACCCAGGCGGAGTGCAGTGGTGCAGTCTCAGCTCACTGCAACCTCCTCCTGCTGGGTTCAAGCAATTCTCCTGCCTCCTAAGTAACTGGGATTACAGGTGTGCGCCACCATGCCTGGCTAATGGGGTTTCACCATGCTGGCCAGGCTGGTCTCAAATTCCTGACCTGGTGATCTGCCTGCCTCAGCCTCCTAAAATGCTGGGATTACAGGTGTGAGACACCTCTCCTCGCCCTGTTATTCTGTCTTTTATTATAGGTGCCTCAGCCGTGAACCTTGCAATAGGTGAGGAAAAGATACTACTTTTTCTCCCCTGCAGGCTCTCTGTTCACTATTAGTGGGAATGTAAATTGATTTATCATTTGTGGAAAATAATTCATAAAATCCTTACAGAATATATCAAAATATAAAATATTAATGCCCTCTTATTCAGCAATTGCACGTCTAGAGATTTAGATTGAGAAATAACTATGTAAGTGTGAAAATATATATGCACACAGATAACTGACACTGTAATATTAATAAGAGTGAAAAAAACAAAAATAACCCAAATCAGTTAGCAGTTAAGGATTCATGAGGAAAAAGTTGGTATATAAATACAATGGACTGGGTGTGCTGGCTCACACTGTAATCTCAGCATTTTGGGAGGCTGAGGCAGGCAGATCTCCTGAGGTCAGGAGTTTGAGACTAGCCTGGCCAACATGGTGAAACCCCATCTCTACTAAAAATACAAAAATTAGCCAGGCTTGGTGGCACATGCCTGTAATCCCAGCTACTAAGGAGGCCAACGCAGGAGAATCGCTTGAACCCGGGAGGCGGAGGTTGCAGTGAGCCAAATCACCCCACTGCACTCCAGCCTGGGTAATAGAGTGAGATCTGTCTCAAAAATAACAAACAAACAAACAAACAAATAAATATAATGGAATCCTATATGGTCAATCCATTGTCATCCAAGATATCCACAATACATGGTAGAATGAACAAAACACAGTTTAAAATGTGCGAGTATAGGCTGGGCGCGGTGGCTCACGCCTGTAATCCCAGCACTTTGGGAGGCTGAGGCGGCCGGATCACAAAGTCAGGAGCTCAAGACCAGCCTGGCCAATATGGTGAAACCCCGTCTCTACTAAACATGCAAAAATTAGCTGGGTGTGGTGGTGGGCGCCTGTAGTCCCAGCTACTTGGGAGGTTGAGGCAGGAGAATTGCTTGAACCCAGGAGGCAGAGGTTGCAGTGAGCCAAGATCACACCACTGCACTCCAGCCTGGGTGACAGAGGGAGACTCCATCTCAAAAATAAATAAATAAATAAAATAAAATGTGCAAGTATAGAATTATCATGTTAATACACTCAGGTGAGTTTTAAAGAAGCTATGCTTCTCTAGAATGTAAGTTCCAAAGACAGGGCTTTGTGCTCTTCACTGCTGAGTCCTTGAGGCCTAAGACAGTGCCTGGTACTTTGTAACCATGCAACCATGTTTGTTGAATGACTAAATGAAAGATGTTTAGAAAGTTTTTCACCAAAAGTTTAGCAGTGGTGGAGAGCTATTTAATAGTAATTTTTTTTACTCTTCATATATTCTCTATCATTTGAGTTGTCTTCAAAATGCTTGTTTCATTTTTATAGAAACAAATAATACATTTAAATCATGTGATGATGCCTGCTGCCTTTGAGATGTGGCAGTCTCACCTGTTTCGGCAGCTATGTAAACTGGTTCAGCTCTTTTGGAAAACCATTTAACATTAAATATCCCCAAGTCACAAAATCCTTCTTTCCTTAGTCCATTATTCCTTCTTGGGAATTTATGTTAAGGAAAAAGATGCAAAACATGAAGTGATCTAGACATCCAAAGTCTTCATCTAAGTTTTATATTACGCAAGTAAAAACTCTGGTCAACCTAAAGATACCTCTAAGAGAGGGAAGAGTGAAAGTAAATTACGGTAAATCCATTAGATGGAATTTAGGCCACGCAGGGTGGCTCACACCTGTAATCCCAGCACTTTGGGAGGCTGAGGCGGGCGGATCATTTAAGGTCAGAAGGTCAAGACCAGCTTGGCCAACATGGTGAAACCCCGTCTCTATTAAAAATACAAAAATTAGCCAGGCGTGGTGGTGCTGGCAGGCAGCACCTCGATTGAAGCTGGGAGGCAGAGGTTGCAGTGAGCCAAGATTGTGCCACTGCACTCCAGCCTGGGTGACAGAGCAAGACTCCGTTTCAAAAAAACAAAACAAAACAAAACGGAATTTAATGTAACCATGACCAACTCTGAAGATCTACAGCAATATAAACAAAAGGAGGCTGAAAATGCAGGCATGTAATGATTTGATTTAATTTATATGTAAACAAAACGACCATGCTGTTGTACTATGACGCAGAATCCTGGGTGCAGTTTTTTTCTTCTGAAAACTGCAGAAAGAATGTGGATTTTAGAGTTCTAGATAGGGGTTTTCATTTCGGCCTTGCAACACGGCTGTTACATGACCTTGGTTGATCAGTTTCCCTAACCTCTTTGTGCCTCAGTTGTCTTACCTACTAAATAGGCTAATAGTACTACCTCGCAGCATGAAGATGATTTTAATGAGATGCATAAGAGTAACGACTCCACAAACTACGGTGATTTTTTATCGATGCTGTTATTACATTTTCAGTTTTCAAAAAGTTTTAAGGTCCCATCAGTTACAAACAGAAAGTAAAATAGCTAAAAAGGGAGTGAGAAAGAGATTCAAGAAATTGGGCTTTTGAGTTGGGCCGCACCCACTCTGCGACTCCGCCGGGGCCTTGAGCGTGGAAAAGCCCTCGGTGACCACACTGGGGCGCAGGCGCCCAGGCCGGGCGAGGCGTTCCCGGAGGTGTCCAGCAGAGGACGCTGCCGGCGGAGACGGAGCCGGAAGTCGGGCCGGAGGCGGCCGGGCATATTCGCCGACTCCTCCCGCTTCCGCTGCCGTAGCCGGTCGGAACCGAGTTGTCTCCTGTCAGCCGCTGTCCCCATCGCCGCGATGCCGCTGGAGAACCTGGAGGAGGAGGGTCTGCCCAAGAACCCCGACTTGCGCATCGCGCAGCTGCGCTTCCTGCTCAGCCTGCCCGAGCACCGCGGAGACGCTGCCGTGCGCGACGAGCTGATGGCGGCCGTCCGCGATAACAGTGAGGCCCGCACGAGCGCCGAGTCAGCGGCCTAGGCCTGGGCCGTCCCCGCGTTCCGGAGCCTGCGGGGACTTTTTTTGATGGAGCTCCAGACCCCGGGGCGTCCCTCTGACGGGGTCTCCGAGACCAGGCCTGGCTTCTCCGGTCCTTAGGGTTTTGCTTTGGTTTGGGGATACCCTGGGGGACCTCGCCTTATCTCGGAGCGGTTGGCATGTCTGTGCGGCCTTCCCCTGTAAGGGCAGCTTGGAGGAGAGTCGTGAGGCATTAATATTTATCCCTGTGCTAGGCACAGAGTAAAGGCCCCGTGACTTACTGTCATTCGGGACTGCTCCCGGGCTCGGGGTATTCCAGCAGGAGAGTTCAGCTTGCCTGTGGAAGGAAATTTGGGTTCGGTTCTTTTTGGCCCTTCTATAGTGAATGTGAGTGTTTGAACATATGTGTGTGAGTATGTGTGTATAAAAAGTCTTTCCCTGTTTGAAGACTTTTGGAACAGAATTCGGCAAGAGCAAACCGAGGATTGCCCTCCCTCCAGCCCTAGTAGAGGTTGGCAGTGCCAGGATTGGCCCTCACGCAAACCTCCCACCGGCATACGTTTCATGTTTTGCCAAGTCGATTATTAAGCGCCATCCCATGCCTTCCTGTTAGTGGGGAAGAGACTGGTGGATGACTTATTGGGGGTCGGGGGGTGAAAGACGTGGGCCGACTTTGACTTGAGGGCACAAGTGTCCCCACTCACACATCCCTCTTTTTGCATGTCAGACATGGCTCCTTATTATGAAGCCTTGTGCAGATCCCTCGACTGGCAGATAGACGTGGACCTACTCAATAAAATGAAGAAGGCAAATGAAGACGAGTTGAAGCGTTTGGATGAGGAGCTGGAAGATGCAGAGAAGAATCTAGGAGAGAGCGAAATTCGCGATGCAATGATGGCAAAGGCCGAGTACCTCTGCCGGATAGGTGACAAAGTGAGTGGAGATGGTTTCCCCTCTCTGTAGTTAGTGTGGGCTAAAATTGGGGACTATTCCAGATAATCGTTTCTCATTAAAAAAATTAACTTCGTTTTAGAAAAAGTATAAAGGTAATCATGCTTGCTTATACTAGTGAATCAATGTAAAGATGAAAAAGTCTCCATGAAATGCCTTGTCATTTCCCTAAACAGCAGCTAGGGCTGTATTCTTCCCCATTTCACCCCATGCCAATAAAAACGTAAGTGTAGATCTAGAGAATTTTATTTACTGCTTTTACAAAATTGGGATCATTTTCAGCAGTTTTCTCACTTGGTTGGGAAGCACTGGTCTGGTGTCTTTAGTACTTTACACGAGTAATACTTTCCTTAGCAGAAACTAAGAAACAGTATAGTAAATGCTGAAGTTCTGTTGATCTTTCTTTACTCTGTACCTTATTGTGCATTTATATAAACCTTTTAATATTTTTTTTTTTTGAGACGGAGTTTCACTCTTGCTGCCCAGGCTGTAGTGCAATGGAGTGATTTTGGCTCACTGCAACCTCCACCTCCTGGGTTCAATCGATTCTCCTCCCTCAGCCTCCCGAGTAGCTGAGGCCGAGGGAGGCGTGCGCCACCGCACCCAGCTAATTTTTTTGTATTATTAGTAGAGACCGGGTTTCACCATGTTGGCCAGGCTAGTCTTGAACTCCTGAACCCCTGACCTCAGGTGATGCACCTGCCTTGGTCTCCGAAAGTGCTGGGATTATAGGCGTGAGCCACTGCACCCGGCCATAAAATCTTTTTTATGTAAAATGTTATATATAAAAATATAAATGCTCAATAAAAGAACAAATTTAAAAAAAAATTAATACCTGCAGAAATTTTTGTCTTTTTTTTTTTTTTTTTTGTACATGGGATCATAGTGTACTAGTGTACGGTCCTGTTTGCCCCTTTCATTCAGCATTACATTTAAGAGGTCTTTCCATATTTAAGAGGTCTTTCCATGCCAGCATACATAAATCTGGCTCATCCTGGTTAACTGCTGCCAAATGTTCCACAGTAGAGCTAGCTCTGGCATAGTTTATTTGCCTGTTCAGTTGTTGTTGGACATGTGTGTTATTTTCATCTGTTTTTGCTTTAGCAAACTGCTGCTGTAAAAACATGCTTATGTATGTCTCTGTGTATATATGCTGGTGTTTCTCTAGGGTATAGTATATGAAACAATTGTTGGGATAATGAACTTTTTTTTTTTTTTTTTAAATATGTGTGGCCTGTTGTTCTATATAACAGCCAGCTTACTCCACCATCAGGGCACCAGAGGGGTACCCACCATTACTGGATCTTTGAAATTTGAGTAACTGTGTAATAGTGGTTAAGAAAAAGGGCTTTGAATGTTCTTAATTTTAAATTATTTGCCTGGAAGTATTTAGATGTAGAATGACATGGTGCCAATATAAAAAAATAAAAATAGTGTCAGCTCTTGAATCAGATTGCCTGGGTTCTATTTTCAACCTTGGTAATTATGATTTATGAAACCCTCGGTTTCCTCATATGTAAAATAGGGGTACTGATAGTTTCTACTTAATGCGGATTAAAGATAGGAAAAAGCTTAGGCTGGTACCTAGCACATAATAAGTGCCTAAATGTTCTGTAATGTATATCTAAAACGAGGTTTTTTTTCTCTTTTCTGGTTGTAAACTTAAGACTTGGTCATTGTAAAAATTTGGAAAATACATAAAAATTTAGAATTAGCTAGTGGTTTCCATTTACTTTTAAGCTGTGTGTTTGTGGTTTGGTTTTAAAGACTAATATATTACATATGAATGAGAAACTTCAAACTTTTGATTCAGGTTTTGAAGAATTTCAACAAGGACATGCTTGAATCAATATCAGGAAGTTGTAAAATGTTCTAATATTATATTTCCTCTGTGTTTATTAAATATCATTCTTCCAAAAAGAACTTTTCCCCTCCTATTTACTCTTTTTTTATATTTTATTTTATTTAGTATTACTAAATACTTAATGGACTTAGTGGACTTTTATTATTCACTGTTACCACTGATGAGAGTCTTTATTCTTTATGGTGCTAAGTTTGTTGCAAATTTGTTAGTAGAGGCTCTTTCAAGACACTTTGTCCTTTTGACATATCTCATTAGTCTTATTTTCTGATAAAACAAAATGTCACAGGTTCACCTGTTATTTTCACTCCAGTAAACCTAGAATTATCCATTTGTCCCAGGATCCCTGGTTCCTTTTAGTGGGGGATAGTATTTAAAAACCAAGATCTGAGTGCTACGTGTATCCATTGCTCTCTTCCCAGTCCCTTATAAATTTATGAAATATAACTAATAATTACATAAAACAAACCAGGCAGACACATACTGAAAACTACCAAGTGTGAATAAATTATTCACATTCTTGTCTTTAAAGCAAAGGAAACATCCCACAATGCTTTGAGAGAAAATTATATATTTACAAATTTAGTCATATTCTAATAGCGACTAAAATACAATTTCCAAAACCCTTCAGATATGATTATTTTGAAATAGTATATTGTGATTATTGAAGGGAGAAAACATTGAATATACAGAACAAAGAAAAATACTTAACAATTGTGAATATATTTTTCTTAAATTGTTTTCCAGAATCTAAGTATATGCTTGGGCATTATGTATTTTTTATGCTTTATACAGGTAGAGAAAGTAGAATAATAAACCCTTGTGTACTTACCACCCAGCTTCAACAATTACCAGTTAATGGCCATCTTGCTGTACCTCTACTCCTACCTGTTCCCCCAACTTTTAAAGAAAATCCCAGACAGCTGATAGCTTTTTTTTGGAAACTTGTAGCCTTTTCTCACCTATTGCCTTGGCTTTCTTGACAGGAGGGAGCTCTGACAGCCTTTCGCAAGACATATGACAAAACTGTGGCCCTGGGTCATCGATTGGATATTGTATTCTATCTCCTTAGGATTGGCTTATTTTATATGGATAATGATCTCATCACACGAAACACAGAAAAGGCGAAAAGGTACTTTCTAACAGTGGGATTATATTCTCTCTAAATTATGATGCTACAAATGAGAAGTTGATATAAGAAACTGCCTGTTTTGTTTATAGCCAGTAAGTTTGGTCAAATAATTGATGTACTTATTTAGTAAAATATTTTAAATATTTCCTTTTGGTTCGAGTTGTTAAAAGTTGTTTCCTCATTTCAAATAACAGAAAATTTTTTAAAACATGGCTTTGTCTGTTTCCAGACTATGATCTTACTGTTTTTATTTCATAGCTTAATAGAAGAAGGAGGAGACTGGGACAGGAGAAACCGCCTAAAAGTGTATCAGGGTCTTTATTGTGTGGCTATTCGTGATTTCAAACAGGCAGCTGAACTCTTCCTTGACACTGTTTCAACATTTACATCCTATGAACTCATGGATTATAAAACATTTGTGACTTACACTGTCTATGTCAGTATGATTGCCTTAGAAAGACCAGATCTCAGGGAAAAGGTAATGACCAAACTTTTATACTCAAAGACTTTTTTTTGTTTCAATACACAAAATCATTAAAGTGTACATTTTTAAATTTTGTATATATGTTTTTTAAAATACCTAGGTCATTAAAGGAGCAGAGATTCTTGAAGTGTTGCACAGTCTTCCAGCAGTTCGGCAGTATCTGTTTTCACTCTATGAATGCCGTTACTCTGTTTTCTTCCAATCATTAGGTAAGGATAGAATTGATATTTTTGATTATCTGTCTTACTCCTGATCCTGTGTGCAAATAACCTCAGAAGATTTTTTACCTATCTGAGAAATGTAGTGTGTAGATAGCTGCATGTCTTTGATCAGTATTCCTAATGTGCCCAGTTTTGTTTAGAAAAGGGGTCATCAGATTGTGGCCTGCTGTATGGCCCAGGAGGTAAGAATGAATTTTGCATTTTTAAAGTGTTATTTAAAAAAGGAGGATGTGACAGAGAGCTATGTAGCTTGCAAAGCCTAAAAATATTTACTCTCTGGCCCTTTGCTGAGGATATTTGCCAGACCCCTGGTTTAGCGTCGTAATGGGGTATAAGGCAAAAGTTAGCAAATGGCTATAAATATTGAACTTCATGGAGAAAGAAGTGAGGGAATTCTGAATGTGATTTGGGTTAGAGATTAATTGAACCTTGAATTCAGGAATAGGTTATTCTGTATGCAATAGCTAAATAGCTAAATCTTTGTGCTGATTTGCAAATCATTTTCAAGGGCTATGGGTTAAGAAAATAATCTGTTGAACATAATTGTATTCCTTCAAAGCTAGTTTATAGTGATCCTGCCTACACACACTTGCTTGTTTTTCCCTCTTGTCCCCATTCTTTCCTGGCTATTTGGTTTCCTAATAATGACCACAAACTATTAAGATGATAGAAGAATTAGCTTGCATCAAGTTGACCCAGGGGTCTTTCCCAAAACTTAAAATTTGACATTGATATAGTCTCTTGTTCATGCTGCAAATTTCAGAAGGTGTTTGGTTTAATAGATAGCATTGGTGAAAAGTGGGAATGGAGGATTCTAAATGATTACTGTTAATGTTTTTGCAGTGGCTTTTGGCCCAGTGTTTTTGGATGCTTTCTCCATGCATATAAATTGGGCTGCTTTGTGAGAATTCATAGTACTTACCTCAGGTAATGTAGGAACAGGTTTCTCCAGCATGATGAGTTACTCACTTGGCCTTATCTTCTCATACATACACATAAAGTTATGTTGCTTTTGTACATAAGGTTATATTGTAGAACTGCTCTTTTCCCTTTTTTATGCTTGGGGTCTCCTGGTCATCACTCAACTCAAATATAGAGCCCTTCCCTGTTTCCCTCAGAACAAATCTCTTACTTCTCTGCATTCCTGGGGCTCTTATTTTATGCCCCCTCCTTTAAAAAAATTGAAGTATAAATCACATACCATAAAATTACCTAAAGTGTACAATTCAGTAGTTTTTAGTATGTTGGCAAGATTTTGAAAATAGTAATTCCAGAACATCTTGAGCACCCCAAAAGGAAACCCATACCCATTAGCAGTCACTCCCTATTCCTCCTTTCCCCCAGCCCCTGGCAACCACTGATCTACTTTATGTCTGTACCAATTTGCCTATTCTTGACATATCATCTAAGTGCAGTCATAAAATATGTGGCTTTTTGTTCCTGGCTTTTCACTTGATAATGCTCTCACATTCATCCATGTTGTAGCATGTATCAGTACTTCATTTTGTTTTATAGCCAAATGATAGTCTGTTGTACGTATATACTACATTTTATTTATCCATTCATTAGTTCATAGATTTTTGGATTGATTGCACTTTTTGGCTACTATCAATAATGCTATAGTGAAGATTTATGTACAGCTTTTTCTGTGGACATATGGAGTGGAATGGCTGCACTTTAATGATAACCCTCTGATAAACTTTTTGAGTAACTGCCAGTTTTCCAAAGCAGGTGCCTGCACCATTTGACATTCGCATCAGCAGTGTGTGAGGGTCCCAGTGTTCCCACATCCAGTACTTACTATTTTCTGTCTTTTTGATTATAGGTATCATTGTGGGTGTGAAATGATATCTCATTGTAATTTTGTGTTTCTCTAATGACTAGTTTCGTTGAGCATCTTTTCATATACTTACTGGCCACATGCCCCACTTGCTAAAACTTAGCACACTGTTTTGTGATAATTTCCTAGTTTGCCTCCTTTGCTAACTAGAATTTCTGGGAGCAGACCTTATGCTTTTTTTTTAATCTTCATAATGACCTGACAGCAGGATAGTACTTGGTACTAATGTGCTCTAAAATAATTCAATTGGAAAAGGAAGTAGTGTCCTTTTCTAGGTAATACCTGACTATATTTAGAAATCAAAAATAAACTGAGAAAGTGAAAGGTTTTGTATCTCACCTCACTCCCAAATCCATACACACATTCACTCACATAAAATTCTTCCCGAGACAATGATTTTAATATTTTGTTATATATCCTTCTAGACCTTTTATTCACTTATATGCACTTTAAAAAAGAAAAACATTTAAAAACCAAAGCTATATGTACACATATACTATACACTATATGTATACTTTATATGATACAGTTGTAAACAGTATCATATAAAGAAGAAAAAGGCTTTCTCTAATGTATGATCACCAGTGTCCTTTCTCTAGAGGCAACTGCTGTTAATCAGGTTTTCAAGTGTGTCCTTCAGGGGTACTGTTACCCAGAGATACAGGCATGTAACACTTTTATGTATTGTGGATGTATTTTATACGCTGTTTTGTAAGTACCTTTTTTTCTCTTCACAAGTAATGTATCTTTTCATGTCACTATATATAAATTGGTCATTTAGTTTTTGAGTGGCTGTCGTGTACTAACATTGAGAATAGCAGCAAATTGAACAGGTAGTGTTCCTAGGAGCTTCACGTTATCCTTTCTTAAGGACTTCCTAGTATTTCAATGTATTGGCTATGCCATAATTTATCCTCTACTGACAGAAAACTAGGTTGTTTCCAGTTTTGCCCTATTATAAGCAACTCTGTTTTGAACACTCCAACAATGCATCCTTCCCACTTGTTATTTCCTTGGGAAAAAAGTCTAAGAAATTGAACTTTCCAAAGGTTAAATATATTGTGTCTTGACCACTATTGCCCTCCAGAAATATGCCAGTTTATATTTACACAATTTATACTTCTCTCAATCTATAGCATTTGAGAGAGTGTGTCCCACCCTCTCCATACTCTCTGCCAGTCTGAGAGGACAGAAATAATTTTATTGATGTGTTATGCATTTCTCTTATTAGTGAGAATACGTACCATCTCATGGTTAGTGGCCATGGAACTCCATGTTGCTAAATCATGTGTTCCCTTGCTCATCTTTATCTGCCTTGATGTTGACCATCCTTTGCTTCTCACCACAGCTTTCTCTTGGTTCTGCAGTAACATGCTCTTGTTTTCTCTGGACCTACCTCCTCATCCACTGTTACACCTCTCAGTGACTGACTGCCTTAGACTGAGTTATTGCCCTTGTCTCTTATCTTCATTTTGTGCCATCAGATAACGTTTGGATGGCAGTGATTGACAAAGTCATGTCTCCAGCCCCAAACTGGAGCACCAGACTCATGCCTTAATGCCTCCTTAGTGTCCTCACTTGGCTGTTTAATAGGCATATCCACTGGAACACTGCCAGCATATGCTTAAATCCCACCCTGACCCCCAACACTAAAAACAACTATTCTCCTTCTCCAGGGATTTCCATCTTGTTGAAACCACAAACATAAGTGTACTGTAGAGTCTCTTTTCTTGCTCACCTTCTGTATCCCTGTAGTTGTCTTCCTACTTGCATTACTGAGTCTGCCATCCTTTCTGTTCCTGGGCTTAACCATGCTTTTCCTGCCTTCAGACTTTTTTTATCATTTACATTGCTCTGTGCTTAGCCAACCCCTCAAAGAGATATTCCCTGTCCACTCCAATCCAGTGGAGGACTTGCTCGTCACTCTATCATGTTACTTTTATTTTCTTCACAGGATTTATCTTGTGTATTTGTTGATCTGTCTCTGCCCTTTGAAAATTTAGTCTTTGTGGCAGCAAGGATCTTGTCTTTTGGTTCACTGCTATATAACTATCTAGAGCAGTGATATACAGGAGTTATTCAGTAAAATAATTTATATTTGTGTGGATTGCTCATTAATCCTCTACATACATTTTACTGTTTAATTGACTTCTAAAGACCTCTTTCTGGATCAAGGCCATTAACTCATCATTGTAAATAAATTTTCTAGTTTATCATTTGTCTTCAAACCTTGTTCATAGTGTTTTGTTATGTAGACTATTTACATGAACAAATAAACAGGAAATAGGAGTCACCAGTCTTTGCTTTCTTGCTTCTGAGTTTTGTTGCTGTTTGAAAATGTCTGGTTTATACCTTTTTCTGGTCTATATAAATCATTTTTCACTGCACCTGCTGTTTCTCTGTTAGAATTGTTTAAAAAATGAATTTTACTTTATTTTACTTAAGGCATAAGAAGTTCTCCATGGTTAAAATGTTAGTACGTGAACTTCGTCATCTGTGAACAGGTTCCTTTAGAAGCTGAGCTCTTTCTGATGGTGATGTCAAATAGCCACCTGCTACTTAAGGATGATGTTTACATACCTGGCCTTCTTTATCACTGCTGTTGCTGCCATTGTTGATGACATGATGTGGCAGGGCAGTGAGAAGTTTGATACTTGTTCATCTATCTGTTGGACTCAACTAGTGTTGCTTTAGTTTTTAATCTTTTTATCTGAAAAGGAGAGTCTTATAATTTGTCATTTTATTCATTGCAGCGGTTGTGGAACAGGAAATGAAAAAGGACTGGCTTTTTGCCCCACATTATCGATACTATGTAAGAGAAATGAGAATTCATGCATACAGTCAGCTGCTGGAATCATACAGGTCATTAACCCTTGGCTATATGGCAGAAGCATTTGGTGTTGGTGTGGAATTCATTGATCAGTAAGTCTGAATAATGCCATGTTAATTGAAATTTTAAAGTTGCCTTTTAATACGTGAACTTGGTACAGTTTACTTGTTTACATTGGTTCCCTCAACCTTGACGGGGAGGGGGGAGGTTTTTTCCTCAGTATTATCAAAACATATATATCCTGTCGCCTCTGCCTTCCTCGTATCTGCCCCTTGCATTAACAGATAGGAAAATGAGTTGTAGTGACTCTAAGTGATTTGTTAAAGGTCATTAGACCAGTTGTTACCAGAGCTGTCTTCTGTTACTTCTTTGTAGACCACACTGCAGCTATAGTAATGACTCTTAGATCTCGTATTTTACAGTTGGTCATATCCCCTCTGATAATTCCTTCCAGTTTTTAGGTTGCTGCTGCAATTCTGGTCAAATTGGTTGTTAAATGTGGGACTTTTAGTACTTGCATCAGTGATTGAACAACTACTTAATGAGCCATTACTGTATGTTTGGTATTGTTTTACAGCTCCCTCTTCACAGACTTTCATTGTAGTAGTAGGGAAGAGATGGCAAGGAAGCAAATATAAAAGGTAATTTCACATAGAAATGAACCTATGGAGATGAGAAAATGCTATCCTTACATATGGCATGCTTGAGGAGGTGAGGTTTGCTTTGAGATTTGAATTGAGAAGAGTCAGCCATATGGAGTCCTTCTGCATGCAGAAAAGGGGATAGAAAAGGCTAAGGCTTTGAGTCAGGAATAAGCTTGGATGTTGTAGGAACACAAAATGTCAGTGTGGCTCCAGCATCGTCGAGGGAGCAGTAGGAGATTGTGAAGAAAATATATGGAGAGTTAGGTGATTTGTGTAGGGGCCTTGTAGGTCATGGAATGGAGTTTGAGTTTTAATTTAGGTTTGATAGGGAGCCACTGGAAGATTTTGAGCCCAAGTTACATGGTCCTATGCAGTGTCTTATATAGAGTAAGGTAGCAGAGAGACCAGTTGTGCTGCTTAGTAGCTCTTGGAGGAGATGTTACTGTGGCTTGGACGAGGGTGGTGAGAGTAGAGTTGGGGAAGAGACATACACAATATGGGATGTCCAGATGGTATCTAGATCGGTGGCTCCCACATGTAGGTGTTTTTAAATGTTGATGATGGTGTTTTCAGTGGTCCGCAGTGGAAACTTTAAATGAAGATGCATTTCTTTTAAATAAGACCATTTTCTTTTTACTATTTACATTTCAAACATCCATAACATTCTAAAGAATTGTACAGTACCTGTTAACATATTGTCACAATCTATACATTTTATGTTTTTTAACCACTTCAAGGTAAGTTTCAGACACCAACACATTTTTTAAATGATCCTTACCAAAATAGCAGGCAGGTATCCCAAGATTTTGTTCCATTTCTGAATTCTAGTCTGTGAAATTGAAGTCAGATGACCACTCTCCAAGAGGGTTGTTCATTAGGGTGCAGGCTGGGCCTTATGAGTGTGTTTTTCATGAGTCAGTGGAAGGAGTGGCTTGTTGTGAGCAGTGCATGAGAAAAAGGGTTTGGCTTTCCTTCTTTTTCCAACTCTGTGGCCTTGGTCAGGTTATGTCTCTTCAGTATCTTAACTGTGATGTTTCAGTATCTTAACTGTGATGTGAAGATGATAAAGCCTTAATTAGTTAGGGGCACACACAGCAGTATTCCTTAAGTCATCTTGATGACAAGTGAATGCAAGGCAGCTGGTACCTTTCAGGTAGTAGCTGAATTCAGGTAGTATTTGAATTGTTCAGTTTTTTTTCCTTCACATTCTAAGACAAGCTTAAGAGGCAAGGGTTGCACCACTGAGCTCTACTTGTTGTTACCTAAAAAGCCCTTGTTTTAAATTTCTGTGATACCTAAGAATTTCAAATCTGGGTTGTCATGGATTCTTCTTTTTTTCTCCCTTAAAAAATTACATTTTAGATGAAATCCCCTTTTTAAAAATGGGCAAAGCAATAATTCTGCATCATTTCTCGCCTCCCACTTGTTTAGACTAAGATATGTTGGAGAGGGAAGGGGTCGTTGTTTTAGTAAATACTACTGCTGTTGATGTGTTTACCCATGGGCTGTGTTCCATAATTTTGTTTTAGGTCTTTTGTTTGAAACAGTTTATTGCTTTATTACTTTGATCAGTTTTATTCCCTAATTTTTCCTAACCTACAGTTTTTCTCAGAGTACATATGAATGGTTTCATTGTTTGATCTACTTTCTATCTGAATAGGAACTTCTAGGATCATGTTTATTCTAGATGACTTAAAGCCTGCAATACATCAGGGACAACTTCAACTACTGCATATGCAATAACAAGCTTGAAGGGACGCTAAATGTTACCATTTTAAGACAGTATTGTAATGCAGTTTGCATTTTTCTAAGAATTTTCTATAAAGCTAATGCTGTTATTTTTTTTTCTCTAGGGAACTGTCCAGGTTTATTGCTGCTGGGAGACTACACTGCAAAATAGATAAAGTGAATGAAATAGTAGAAACCAACAGGTACTCTCATTTTGTGTATCATTTGTTACATTGCTTAGAATAAGGGGCATTCCTAAATTTTAAGTGCCTTAAATGTTAAAAGTAGGTCAACTATTGTCATGGAGTAATGTGACTGGTAAATAATTCATTTTTTCTTGAATTTATTTATAGACCTGATAGCAAGAACTGGCAGTACCAAGAAACTATCAAGAAAGGAGATCTGCTACTAAACAGAGTTCAAAAACTTTCCAGAGTAATTAATATGTAAAGCCATGTAACAAAGGATTTCCTTTAGAGATGATTATTTGGAATTTTTATAGCTTACTTCACTATGTGCCCAGGTCACCTGTATAAAATAAATATGCATTGTTGTTTCTTTCCACTTATTTTTTCTTAAACACATATGCCTTGTAGAATGGGGTCCACTTATGTTAAAATACTGTCACTTGAATTATTCATTATTGAAAGTCTGGTTTATAGTGTTAAGATTGCAGCTGGGTTCAGATCCTAAATGCCTCAGATGGTGACACAGCCCATTATTTCTTACCTGTAAGCTTCCTGATTTTTTAGAAAAGTACATACTATATAGTGGCCTACAATTAAACAGTGTCTCCCACTTAGTATACAAAAGATAGAAGATAATGTGTAATAAACTTTCCCTCAGAAACAAGTAACCATATAGGACAGGAAGTTACCCTATTTTAGGACGCCGACATAACCTGGATTACAGAATCTACCAAGGCCGATCTCAGTTGTCTAAAACCTTGTATGTAAATATTAGCAAACTGAATCTTTTTTCCAAAAGTAGGACCATAGTAATAGCAGTGAGGAAAACAAAGTTGTTCCCCTGTTTGAAACAAGTTATTACTTTATTAGTTTTATCAGATTTTTTTCAGTGTGTCAGATAGGAATAAGTACTATAAGAAATATAAAACCAGATAGAGATACAGGGTATAGGCTCTCTTCTGTGAGGTGTTGTGTGGAAGGCTTCTATGGTAAGGTGACATTTAAGTGAAAAGGAGGGAGAGCCCATGCACATATGGAGGGAAGAAAGACAGGGAAAGTCACTGGTAATTTTAAGTGCAGATTTGGCTTACCTTTTAAGTCTCACTATGGCATTTGGTGGCATGGATTGTAGAGGCAGCTGGATTTGCTAAAAGATTAGAATGGGGTGAGGAGGATGAGGGGGAGAAAATTTATCAGAGGAGATCCTAAGCTTTTTGGCTTAAGTGAAAGATGCCAGAGATACTAGTGACCTTAATGAGCAGTTTTGGTAGAGGGGAGTTCAGAAGAGAATGGCAAATGGCATTTTACTGTAAAAGGCAGGGGAAGGAAAGAAGAGTTTTGAGTGTTTTTGTTTTAAAGAGCATTTACTGATGGGAATGATCCCTGTTAACATATTAGTAGAAAAAAACACATGATCTCATTTGATTGAAAATTATTTGATACAATTCAACATTTCTTCATGATAAAAACTCTTCAGTAGACTATGAATAATAGGCTGGGAAATCAAAGCCCTATCACAAGGTAATTAATGGCAAAATATTAGAAGCATTATCTTAAAAGTGAAGACAGTGGCTCTCATCGCTGGAAGAAGAGCCGTTGGTTATATGCCAAGGAAAGCAATGTGGCCAGAGCGCTGTTTTCAAAGGAGTTTCCTGTAGGCACTATGGTGGAGGGAAGGCTTTTAAAATGCTGAATATGCCTAAAGTATTTGAGAATATCCACCTATGAATTTCTAAAAATGCTTATCTAGAAAACATTTCTTGAAGAAAAAAACCTCAGCTTTTTGGGTTTCTACAGAAAACCAAAGCTAGTCAGGAATGCAAAGGTGGCTTCTGAATGTTACAAAGTTGCAGTTGGTCACCCACAGGCTGCAACTGGCACACCCTAAATACTTTTTTCAAGAAAAAAATTTATAGTCACCACGTAAAAGTTGATAGTTTAAAAACCACATATCTAGCTTCTCTGGGAAAAGGAAAGATTAGGCTAACTCTGGACTCATGCTCCAATAAGCTAACGACAAGCATAGCTTGTTTTCCAGTGTGCCCCAGTCCACCCAGTCTGTTCATATACACTGCCTGTCTGCCTGGCCCCTGTTGGCATTTGAGTTTGTTATCCCTGCACTATCCCCAATATTGTACATGTGAGGTTGATGGTTAAAAGTCTCCTGTGTTAATCAACTAGGACAGGGGTGTCCAATATTCTGGTTTCCCTGGGCCACACTGGAAGAACTGTCTTGGGTGCCACACAAAATACACTTAGTTGATGAGCTCAAAACAAAACAAAAAAGAAACACCTCAAATGTTTTAAGAAAATTTACACATGTGTTGGGCCACATTCAAAGCTGTCGTGGGCTGTGGGTTGGACAAGCTTGAGCTAGGAGAAACTATCCAAATAATTCTTAACCATCTTGTCTCTAGTAGCTTTAATTGATACAGCTTGTTTTTTGAAAGTCTTACTTTTCTGCTTTTATTCAAGAAGGGTACTTCACAATATGAAAATAAGATTATGAAATGATAGTTATATTTGCAGAGCGACAGAGCTAAAACAGTTATACATAGTTCCTTTTTCATGTTGGTAAATGTTTTCTTTTTCCTGTTGGTAAATGTTTTCTTTTGAAGTTGGAAACAGTCTTATTTTTAACCCTGGTTTCAGTCAAAATTATCCTAGTGTGAAATGACATCACCAGGATAAACTATCTTTTGTGGTTATTTTTAAAGCAAAAATGCCAGTTTCTCTTACCTCAATAAAATTTGATTTTATAGCAAATCTATCCAGTAAGAGATAAATATTTTAAAGCTATGTCAAAGTATAGTAATCTATTTCCTGTATTAGAAATAATAGCTTTAGGTCAATTTTTAACTTACTAAATAGCAGTGTCTCTTAGGACAGAAACAGTGTAAAAACCACTTTTGTTAAGCACCCAGCTTTTACCTGTCCCAGACAGCTAGAAGGATACCTACAACTTGGATCACTGAGCATGCAATACTCCAATACACTTAGGATTTTGTGACTGAATACATTTGGTCTTTTATAACCTGACCAAACATTAATTGATAAAAGGCTACTAATCATTAGCAAATCATTTCTGTAATTTCATATTCTGAATTAGTCCTTGGTGCTGCCGTTAACCTAATGTTTTTAAGAGGATGAATAGTTGACAGTTGAAATACCTGCCCCCATGATTATGGGGAAAAAGGGTGGAGGGAACTATGATAATCCCTGGCCTTCCCAATGCTACATAAACTTGTAGTTGCTGGTAACAAACCTGTGCCTCCACAGTGGCAATGGGGCAGTGAGGTAAAATCCCCATCTGGAAAACATGAAAAGCTCTGACAATCACTAGTTTTGGTTTCAAAGCTATAGAGCCACAGATTTGCATTATGCTTGTGTTTCTGAAGGAATATAAAGGCTATCAGGAATTTGTAGCAATCTGATCCAGGCCATTTTAACCTTGACATACATGGTCAAAGGGTGTAACTTTTTTTTTTTTTCTTTCCATTTAAAAATCTCTTACAGTGGCATAACTTTCCCTGTACAAATTGGGTTTAAGAAACAAGAGGGATAATTTGCTATTCAATGAGCCTTTAATCCAACCATTATATATCCCCTTTCCCTTGAAGAGACCATTTAGTTAAGACTACCAGCAGGTGGCACCTTGACAACTTTACCAACCTTGCCTTTTAGAGGTGACCAGAGACCTGTGCTTTTCCAAAGTACTGTTATACGTGTAATTAGTGTAATATCAATGCGGGGAAACTCTTACCTTTGGTTTTTGAGGACTCTGCTTTTCTTGAAATCCTCTGGGTTAGAGATTGTTTATTCATATGCACCTCAGTTCACTGTTTCCTAGTCCTTTGCTTATTCTCCTGGCCATTATGTTTCCACCTTCTTTCAAAATACCATCTCTTTGAAGCTGCTTACAACCCAGCAACACCATCAACTCACTGTGCTCACTGTCCTCAATCACACATCTCCAAGTCACTCTGCCCTCTTCCATGCAGATCATCCCAGAACCAAGTAGCTGCCTCAGTCTTCCTCCCAACCCTAACTAATTTGAAATGGACAACCTATACAACACCCTTGGCTTCACAGTTCCTCAACCTGAATTCCAGTGCTCTTTTCCTTCATGCTGCTTCTGTCCACTGCCATGGTTTCCACCCAGGAATCACAAGCACATCTAGCCAGTTCTGCTTTTGAAAATAATACTGGAATTCCAATTCCTTCATTCCCTGTCCTATTCCTAAAAGTGCTGTATCACTTTGATAACTCTGGCCCCTGGATCCCACCTTGTAGCCCCTCACTTTTATTGGCCACATGGAATTGAATGTGGACTCTGCTCTGTGACCCTGAACAAATCAATTGTCTAATCATAGAAAAAGTTACCTGGAAGGAGATTCCTAAGATCTAACAAGAAGGTAATTCCAATCAAACCAGTGTCTTAAGAGCACCTGCATAGATTCTACGTGGTGGGCTTCCAGTTCTCTTCCCTGAATACCCAATTCAGTCCATCATCAATCACTCAGTCACATCTTCACTCATACTCTTCTTTGGCAATCTCCCTGCCCAAGTTCTAACTTTTCCACCCAACCCAATACATGCTGTTCCAATTATCCTGGACTAAACAGCAGGATAATAAAACATTACCTAAATGGGTAGATGGCATTGATAATTATAATGGAATCGACTCTAAACTTCTAACCCTGTAACCATCTCAATCTCACCCTTGTCTGCCTTTCCTTACCTCTCTGACTTTTTACTCTAGTGCTCTTCTCCGTTTGTCTTCATGAAAATAGTCTTCTCCAAGGTCTTGTCCTGGGTTTTCTCTCTGGGCCATGGAGGATGGGCTTCAGGTTTGTGATATCCTGGAGGCGGAATATAAACATGTAGTGTGCCTGTGCCTCAGTCAGACAGGATCCATAACTTCACGTGATTCCTGGAGCCTAAGGAGGGGAAAAATTAAGAATCACTGTTCTGACAGGCTTGAATTATCCTGGATCTGCCACCTATTTGTCATGGGACCTTAAACAAGATACCTTCTTAGGAGTTCCTCATCAGTATGATTGGAATCAAAATACCTGCCCTATGAGGGCTTCGTAAAAGAGAGGATATATATAAAATGCTTGGCACAGTGTCGGGCATATTAAGTACTTAACTAGAGAAGTATTATTTTAACATAATAAGCCAAATCGAATAGCTACCTAATTTCCCCAGGTAAACTCATCTACCCTTATGACCTCATTGATCATCTAAAAGTGAAAGACAACTCTCCATCTTTATTTTCCAGCTCAAACCTCCCTCCTAAGGTCCATCCAGCCTGTACAGCCAGCTGGGCACTAAACCACAATTTCCCACCAGCAGCTCAAATCTATCGTTATGTCTTTTTCCTTCTCTATTGCCATATCACACATTTCACTTAAAGCTCAATTGGTTTGGCCAAGCTAAAAACCTGAAGTCTTCTTAGACTCACTCTTCCCTTTAATGTTGAATAGAATTAGACCTCAAGGCCTGTTGGTTCTACTTTTAAAAGATTTCTGAAATCAGTATCAGGTATCCTCATGGTCAGCCTTAGTTTGGAAACTTAATAGCTCTTACCTGGATTACAATGGCTTTGTAACTTATTTTTGTCCGAGGTTCTCACCTGTTGATTCTGTCTTCCATTGTTACTGGGGAGCCATAGGTGGCAGAGATGTTTTTTTGACAGAGTATTAAATTACAAGTGATTCTCCCCTTCCCTCTGGAGACTTTTTCTTCGGCTGATAGCCTCACTCTTCCTTACCTCCTAAGAGATACTCTAGTTCACGGGTTTTGGATGTAGAAAATGAGGATAACAAGTGCCAAGAATTACAGCCCTACAAGGTGAAAGACTACTTTAATTAACTTCCATTAACAACAGAAGCAAGAACTTCTTACAAGAAAGAGGAGACTAAGAAAGGAGTGAGAAGGGAGAGGAACTTAGACTTGATTTAGGGGAGTGCTTTTTGTTAGGACCGGGGACAGGGGCAGGTAAAGACAGATCTTTGAGGCAAGAGAGAGTGAGAATTCAAGAGATGGGGAAAGAGACTTAAGTGCTTCTTTGATTTTCCAAAGTTTTCAGTACAGATTTGAATGGCTTTGACTTTTGGCAGCTGCACGGTGCTAGGACTGGACCATGAAGTATCTCTGGGCTCTGAGAGTTACATTTGGGTTAATCTAAGCCTGATCCCATGTGTTCCTGGATGAGGCCCCATGACATTTAAGGTCCTTGACAGTCTGACACCAGCTTTTCTAACCCTATAAGGCCCTTCCATCCAGCAGAATTCCTGCAGAATTACTCTCTATCCCTCAACATCTTCATACCCACGTTCGACGCATTTGCTCCATCTGCCTAGAATCTTACTCTTGTCTGCCTTTCTGCCTGGTGAAATCCCACATATGCCAAGATCCAACACTGCTAAACCCTTTTCCTTGAGTTGGGATCATCTTGTTATGCAGGGCCGGGATACCTGCAAGGGAATGGAATTAAAAAAGGTAAGAGATTGACTTAGCAGTTTAACCTTTTCTTGGGAGGTTTGAGGACATCCATGGTGAAAGGATTTACCTACAGAGAGCACCTCATGATTAGATTTGTGGCAAGTACTGAGTGGGTGGCTGACTTAAGTTAAGGAGGGAATAGGAAGTCCATAAGGCAGTAGGAACTGAAGCCAACATGACTCTCTCATATCAGGTATGAACATTTTTGCTAATATACAAAGCAGTTGCTCCTCTTATTTTAAGCAACAAAAATAATTTATCAGAATGATTTGCAAACAGTAAAAATGTCTGGATTTCTAGAGGTAAATGATTATGCTGTGTTCCAAATAATACTAAAATGCACTTGTATTGCCAGTAAGGAAGATATGTAAAAGGAAGAGATTAGACCAGGTCTGGATAAAAAGCTTATCTTAAATCAAAACTACATGTCATCAATTTTGCACCTAAATACAAACAGAATGTGTTTCTCAATCCATCAACTCCCTCTTGTTTCCTTCACAAACATGCAAGGCCAGAATACAGCAGTGTTCACTGTTTACAGAGTTGCTAATTTATCCAAGGCAAAGCTTTGTGCCTGCAAATGGAAACATCCCCTGGTCTTAGAATTATTTAGCTTATGTAAGAGGGAGGCTAAAGTGAAGGGGCTTCACAAGGGTGTTCAATGCCAAAAGTGATGAAAAGTCAGAGTAGACTGAAAGGGTTTAGTATCACGAGGCAGAAACATGTAAAATATTTCATGCAGCCAACCTTATTTATTGAGAAGTCCTAATTTTATTGCCCGTTAAGTAACATGTTTGTTCCACAAGCTAATTTCTTATAAAGCAAAGCACAACCTTTTCTTATAAATAGTATAAATTATTTTATTTACAGAAACTTGTTACAAAACAAATAGACTATATATTTCTTCTCTTTTAAATATCCAAAGTAATTTTCTATCCCTTGACATTTGTTCATGTTCTATACAGCAGCCAACACAAAGTCCAGCTGAGATGCTCTTGATTATGTGTACAAATTATCAAACTATTCACACGTTTTTAACACAGGAGATTGCTTTTATAACCAAGCTCAAAAAAAAAAAAAAAAAGCAAAATGCTTTCAAGGCCCTACATTCACACTGACAGTATGTAGTGCTCATTTAAATGATCTGAAAATGTAAAATGTTTTGCACAAAATGTAAAAATGATTATTTTCTGCTAAACAAACTTTTTAACAATATTTTTTCAAAGCCCAATCCCCCCAAACCCCCTGGACAGAATGAGCGACATTAAGAAATTCCTTGGCAACAGAACTCTTACAGGAAGACAGCTGCCTTTATAAGTTACATTTTTCAAATTATACATTTTTTTCATGTTCTCAGAGGTACTTGTTTGTATTATATTTTTGGAATACAAAATATTTTAAATATTTTATTTTAAATTGTATTTCATGAGTGAATAACAAAACGGACACATCGTGTAAGTTGCTGGCTGACAAAAAGATCTGCAACCCTTGGTGCCACCAGGCAATCCATCACCAATTGAATTACTATGAACCAAAAGGTCTTAATTTTAAAATACCTTATAAAATTACCAGCATGGGTGGTTTTCAACTCCTCCCCTAAAATTTTAGAAACAATATTTACGTGGAAAAAAGCAAACTCCAAAAGTTCAACTGAACATTCAAGTCTTTTTAAAGAGATTCTGTCTAAGCTTAAAACTAGGTTCAGGCACTTTCAGTTTTTTCCATTAGTTTTAAACCACATCACATACTAACATACATGTGCTCAGAGTATACACACACACACACACACACACACACAATCACACACTCTCACACATAAAATACTAACAAAAGAAAAGCAGTGTGTCACTTAGTTACATGTAGTCTATCGGGAAACCAGGCAACCAGGAAGAAGCAATGCCCACTTCATCTGTATGAATCCACTCCCGAGACACTAAAAGGGACAAAGACTTTTCACAGAACAGAGGCATCCCTTAAAACTGTAAAGGAGGCAGGTTCTAGAACTATTGGCTTGGCAGTGAACCACTTCAAATTATAAAAAGGTATTTACTTTTATTAATTAATAAATAAATACTAGATGATCTCAATTGTACCAAAACAGGATATCAGAAAAAAAGACCTGTGCAAAAATACATATTTAAATATGTACAATTCATTTTTAACAAAATATGTCTTCTGAAATAGGGATACTTCCATATTTATAATAGAACAAGAAATTCCAAAATAAAGATACAAAAGTAGGTTTTGTATAATTCTTTGTTCATCATTGCAGCACTTTTTTTTTTTTGTAGGTTAAGAAAACTGCAGGAGTTGTCATGAAATTCTATTGGAAAGAATATAAAAATTATCTTGGTTTTAAATTGATACCAAAGTCTGTCTAGAAACAACCCAACCACTGTAAATTTGGTTTTTGCAAGTTAATTTAATTCAAAAAAATACTTGTACTCCCGTGTTTTAAATGGTCTTAATTGTTCATCATCATAAAAAGTAGTTGTAGGAGAAAATAAAATATTTGAACAGTCTAAAATTTAATAGCACTGTTTAGAATAGGTCTGTTTGTGGCAGGCAGAATCCAAAATGGCTAATTTCCTAATCCCGATGCTCTGTGTATTACCGGGAGACATAATGAAATTCAATTAAAACCTCAGTCTAAGAAATCAAATGTTCAATACTTGCTAATCTAAATATCTACATTGTTCTGAATCAACTTGTTATCATGGATCCTATTCACATCTTTCGGAACAACATGATCTCTCTGTAAATTCCATTGCTAAAGGCAACTTTATTTATAACCATCAAGTCCTCTTGGCTCTGAAAATAAATTCTACCCATACCCCATTGCACTTGTCACCAAGGAATCAACTAGGTACGTTCTGATTCCCTCTCACCTCCTCTCTCTTCCCCGACTGGGATGGAAACCACATTGATTTATCCTAACTATGCCAAACTGGCCCATCCATGCCCTCTCCTTACTAAGCTCTCCTGTAGTATCATTTTAAAAACATTTACTGATTGATTGCATAATAATTGAACAAGATACTGTTCTCTCCTTCCTTTAAAAAAAATCAGTATTTTACATCAATTTATAGCTAAAGTATCTGCATAAAGTTTTTGTTTTCTTACATAATAAGAATAATTCTGTAGCAATTCACATTATTAGGCTGGTAACCAAGTTTATTCATTCTACCTGTTGTTGACTTGAAATTCCCTGAAACTGAAGTTTGAAACCCAAGAACTGTAGGGAAAAAAGGATGTACTGACTGGCTCTCATCAGGCCCTGGCCAGGGCAATGATCAGTGCCGTGGAAATTTTACCCTGTGTTCGGCAACTTTTGTGTGTTCTTCTAAGCAACAGTGCCTGGTTCTCGTGTCAGAAGCCTATAGTGGTGGAAGCCCCCATTTAAAGGCTCTGGCTCATACCCGAATTCAATGACACCTTCTCCAAGCAATGCTGTTTTAACGTATTAAGGTCTTTCTTTAGGGTTGGGGTACTAGAAAAAAAATCCTAGAGGGCTCCAAAACTCTCAGGAAGATGGCTGGTATAATCCCCAGAAAGGAGGGTGTGGGTCAGGGCAATCCTATACACACATCACAAAAGACCTTCAGATCGGGACTTACATGTTCTCCAACTCCCTTCCCTTGGTGTCTGCTCTCGTCCCCAACCACATCCAAATAAACATCTGGAGTGGCATGAAGGGGAGTGCATACAAAACCACACAATGCCAGAAGTGCTTGAAGTGGAAACCTACATTTAGTCCCAGGACAGTATCCAAAGAGGAAAACAAGGGTAATGCAGAGAGTGCCTTGGAAACATTTAAATGTATCTAATAATGTCACTTTAAAAGGTGACTTTCAAAAATAGACTAGGTAGGACAACCAACCCAATCTGACATACTGTTTACCATGAAAACTTAATGGATTAAGAAAATTTCTTCTCTTTGGAAATCTTGAAAAAAGTTTTTTCTCCCTATAGTGATTTTAACTTCCTCATTCCCACCCTCCCCCGACCCAATTTGGCCTTCCTTTCTCAAAACTAGCTTGCATTCTCTTTCTTAAAAAAAAAAAAAAAATCACACAGAATTGCTTTTTTATCATGAAAAGTAAGTCTCCAAAATAATTTATGCTTGCTGTCTGGGCATCGAAAATCTCAAACCAGTTTGTAAGTTAGAAACTTCTGACAGTTTCTTTTCCCAAATTACTCTCAAAAGGCTGGGCTACTTTGTCATGGTGCCTTGGGCTAACATCCGTATTTCATTCCTGGAACACTGCTATCAAAATCTAAAGCCTAATTCCCTTCTTCAGAGGGTTGCTCAGGATGCAGCCCTCTGTCCTCTGGAAGGTTTCTGGTCTCCAGTTAAGGTGCCTAACTGCTGGAGAGTGACCTACAGACGACAGTGTTAAAAAAAAAAAAATGGTAGTAAAAGGAAGGAGGGAGAAAGGTCTACAGTAACGCTCTTGCCAAAACATTCTTTTGCCCAGCCAATCTACTTGAAGAGTGGCTCCGTGATATACTGCAAGTTAAAAAACAAAACAAAAACAAAAACTTCTCACAGATTGGTACAAGCAGTCCAGACCACTTTAACACTGATAAAAGCAATTCGGTGGCTGAACTTGATCCAGTGTCCTTTATGAGTACTCACTGCTAGAGACATAGCTTCAGGGAAATCCTCTGTTAAAACAACAGCCAGGCAGGTTTCTACCCTTGAGGCCCACAGGAGGTTGGGAAAACAGACTCAAAGGCATCGTGGAGTCCAGAGTGCTGAGTGGAGGTGTAACTTGTCCTCAAAAGTGTCCGCATTATTCCTCCCCGTGCTATTTTCAGCTGTCAGGGACGTGCCTTTGGCTTTCAAAAAAGAGGGGGTGGGGAAATAATGAAAAGGTAAGTAAGCGTTTACACACTGCACTCTCTTGATTCTAAACAAGAATATTCCAAAGGCTGCACACTACTAAAGTCTCCATTGACTGAGTGACACCAGGAACAGTCAGCTAGAGAATTTGGCCTTAGCTTTCAAATGCCTTCACTATTACTGGGCACAATCATTGCAAAGATTTACTTCTAGACAACTGGCTAGAAGAGATGCAGGCATGGGTTTCTAGCTTAAAGAAAAGGCTCTTATGTTTGCCTGTTAGTTTTATTTACTGATTTTGTGTCCTTGAAGGTATTCCAGGTTGTTAACTGAGAAGGGAACAAGGTCAAGGGCCAGCACACACAGGTGTGACAGTTCGCACTCAGGGCAGTGCCCATGCTGGGGGAGAGGAAACTCTGGCATTCACAGTAGGCTTTTACATCTTTGGTGGCAGAGGCCATGAACAGACTCTTGGGGGTCACTACCCAACCCCATCATCTCCCAGACTTGCTAGCGTGTCCCACTCTTCATCCCCTTGTTTAGAAAACTTCAACTAGCCCAGTTATTTTTGTTTTAAAGGCAGCTCCACAAGGAACAGCAAGTAGAGATCCCTACTTTTGTAACAGCAGCATTCTTTAAAGTATTTTGGGGTCATGAGTCCCTTTGAGATTCTTATGAAAGCTATAAGATAAATGAACAAAGACATAAAAATGTGCAACACTTCTTGGGGTTCAATGATCCTTTGATCTCTAAGCAAGCACCCCCACTCCTGCCCCAGGATTTGTGCAGCATAAAAAAAAAGTACTCCTCTGCAGAGAAACTCTCTCTCAAACACAAACTTAAGTGGAAACTGATTTTAAGGAAAAAGCCCAAAGTTAGGCTGTCTGCGTTGTTCTAGTAAGACACAGTGCCACTATATGGTAAAAATCAAAGGTGGCAAAATGGCAGGTCATGAGCCAAAGATGGCCCACAGATACATAGTCTATACCAGATTTAAGAGGAGAAAAAAACGTGTATGTGTGTGTGTATTTATGCATGTGGATATATATATCCACATACATAATATATATATACATTATGTATGTGGATATATATATCCACATACATTTAGTCGAGATATATGTGTGTGTGTGTGCGTATATATACACACACACACACACACATATATATCTCGACTAAATTTCACATGCAAGTCCAGATCTGCAGCCTCTCTTTAAAGCTGGTAACAAATGTCTGGAAGCAGCTGCTCCATGTCGCCCTATTTCTAGTAGGCACTGTCAAATCTCTGCTGTGCCCCACCTGGCCCCCTTCTGTCCTTTCTGTTACTTGTGGGCATTAAGATCTACACTCCTGTCTAAATGAAGACAGTGTGCTCACTAATACAGATGTGAGATGGACATTACAGCACAATGGGATGCCCCTCCCATGGGGATCATGTCTCCTGGGGACTCTACTCTCAACGACGGTGTGTTGAATAATGGGTACACCATGTCTTCTGTGTTTATATTGGATTATTATGCTTATAAACTGTAATGAGTAACTACAAACCAAGAAGGAAAAGCACACTTCTCATTTGTCCAGGAATCCCCTGATCAGAATGCCAAACAACACATAATAACCCATAATGTATGCAGCTGGTTAAATTCACAAATATTTTCCCCATAGCTTTGGCACTGGGTGTTAATTCACCCAAATATTAGAGGAAAATTACATCACACTAAGAAAATACTAAGAAACTTCTTGGTATTTTCTGAAAAAGTTCTAACCTGGCTGGCATTTGAGTTAAGTTCTGAAGACGAGGAAGGGGAAAAAAAACCATGAAAAAGAGCCTCACATTTTAAATCAGGGCTCAGGGGTGATGTTGCTGAAATTCCTGTTCGTAAGCAAGGTGAAGAGATATCCTGATGAATAAAATAACAAGATGAGAGATGAGCTGGAAGTTAGAGCAAAGGAAGCTGGAAGAAACAGCTACAGGTGAGGTCAGTAACAGGCAGAAGAGCTGGGACGAGACAAAAATGCAGCCTAAGAGAGAAAGTCATGGTTAATTATGAATCCCACAACCACTTAGCCACTTCTCTACTGATGGGTTCATATGCAGACTTCTTTTTAACAATGAGCTTGGAATGAGATTTCAATCTTCTGCTATGCCCATACTGAATCCTGTTTTTCCTGCCTCCCTCAAAAACGGGAAGAGAAAATAAGGGGTGAGATTTAACCAGAATATCTGAAATTCTTTTGAGAGGGAAAAATAATAATTTTTTTTTTTTTTTGAGATATAGTCTTGTTCCGTTGCCCAGGCTGGATGGAGTATAGTGGTGTGATCTTGGCTTACTGGAACCTCCACCTCCCGTGTTCAAGCAATTCTCCTGCCTACACCTCCTGAGTAGCTGGGATTACAGGCGTGCACCACCACACCCAGCTAATCTTTTTATGTTTAGTAGAGACGGGGGTTTCACCATGTTGGCCAGGCTGGTCTCAAACTCCTGACCTCAGGTGATCCGCCTGCTTCAGCTTCCCAAAGTGCTGGGATTATAGGCATGAGCCGCTGCGCCCGGCCTCATTTTAAATCTTAAATCACCCCTTTCTAGATCAGTTCGATTTTAGCCCAGCTTTCCTCAGAGGAACATACTGAAGAACCACTATCCAGGAAACAATGCCTGCTTCCTTCCTTAAAGCCTTGAATGGCACACACTTCACAGCATTGGGATAACATATTATTGGCTATCTCATAAAGGGACTCCCCTCCAATTATGATTTTGCTGTCATGCCTGATGCTTTCTGCAGCTCTATCTACTAAAAACGCATTACTATACTTTCTTTCCGAAGAGCATCTTCCAAAGGCACCAGAAATTCTGGCGGAAGAGCCTGTTTTACCTTCATATGGCTGTGAGCTGTTTTTTTTTTTTTTTTAAGACACCATGAAGCTGAATATCTGTTTACAAACCAACCAATCAATCCAACCAAACACATTTCTGAGCTGGCAAAAGATCCTAAGGGAGAGGAAATGGGCATTCCCATGGGGGTCATAGTCCATTTCCTACCTGATGAAGGAGGGAATTGTTCGTCAGTCCTTGTGCCCCTGCGATGGTGCCTGTATGTTTCATGTGGACGTTGTTCATGGCTGGCACTTTGGCAACCTTTGTAGGTTTGCTGCTGCTGTTGTTGATGCTGCTCGAGCTGGGTGAGCACTTTCTTTTCTTTCCTATGAGTTTGTCTAGAGGAGTGTGTGAGTGGGAAAAACTGCCATGGGAGTTGACAGGCAGTTCATTGGACTGGTGAATGAAGGGCCCAAGAGAAAGAGTGGAATCACTGCTGTTCACCATCACACTCATCCTCTTGATGGATTCAGCAGGGCTCCCGCTGAGGGGGCCCCTCCCTGACTGGTCATGCCGGACGTTCACCGCATTTGCTTTATTCGTCACACAGTTGAGGCCGATGCTATGGGAAGATGTTACCGTTGAGGGGTAGGGAGGCCCAGAGTGAGCCACACAGTTTTTCCTAAAAGACTCCATGGAATGAGAAGAAGAGGAGGAGGAGGAAGAGGAGGAGGAAGAGTGAACCAACAGTGGGGAAGTGTTTTTGCGTTTCTTTCCTGAGCCGCCACTGGTACTGCTACTGGCATTTTGACAGTTAGTGCTGTTACCAGAAGACTCCTTGGGCCTCAAAGATTTGCTGGATTTCAATTTCTGAGGTTTCCTGGACATAGGGGAGGAGGGAACCGAGGAAAGGCCAGAGGGCGTGGAAGGGGATGAGGATGAAGAGGACACTTGTCTGGATTGCATACTGCACACAGGATCCATCGCCCCTGAAGCAGCAGGCTGTGCATTTAGTGTGGTTCCATGAGCTGGTACCGATTTGCTATTTGGGGAGATGCAGGTAGATGAGAGCAGGACTGGGGATGTAGAGACGGTGGCTGCTGCCAGATAGCTGACTCCACATTGTGATGTCGGCACAGAGTTTGTCCGGTGAGGAATACGTGTGGAGATGGGTGAGGTGGTACTGGGCACTGGTGGGATTTTCCTGAAAAAATGAGAGGATAGTGAATGACACTGACCACAGCCATTCACGGAGACTTTCAGATGGCACCCTCTTTGCTTATGACAGAGAAATCACCCACATCAAAGCGATCACTCTGAACTACAAAGCCAATTCTGTCACCTCTCTCCTTCAAATTCTTTAATGCCTTCCTGGGGCTCTTAGAGTAACTATATGTGTGCAACTCCCCGCTGCTACTACCCCAGCCTCTAACTCCACCTCCCACCCCCAATGCCCTGTTCCCTGCTTCCAGCCGTTCCTTATATTCTGAGAAAATGCCATGACCCAATACCCCAACTTCTGCTCATCCTTTAAGTGTCGGATTGCTAATCACCAAATCCTCTGCAGAGAGTCATCCCCAGCTTATTTACCATTGTAGTCCTAGTGTTCAGCACAGTGCAGGAAACACAGAAGAGAGAATTCAGGAACGAGTGAGAGAAAAGGAAGGGTGCAGCTAATTAACAGCAACTGCTACGTCATAACTATTGGCCTGAACAAGGGACTAAAGCCCCACAGTATCAAGGGATATTCAGCATGATGTTGTAACAATGGATTCTGTTAAGAATGTGTGGGCAAGGTATTTATTAGGGGATGCGGAAACCGTCTAAATTCAAACCAGGGAGGGTCTCCTTTCATTTTAGCTCTGAATGTTAAATGTGACAGTAACAAAATTTCAAAAACTTCTTCGGCAGAATTTAAACTGAGTTGACAGAAGAGAAAAAGACCTGACTGGAAGGCAAATGCCAGGACTGCCTTGATCCTGACTTACAGGGTAGCCCTGGCTGACCCAACCACTACCCCAGTGAGAGAGCTGGCCTAGACTTCTGCCTAGGTGATTTCCAGATGCTTTTAAAGACTACTGTTATTAATAAAATGAATTAATGACTGCAAGTATTTGCAAATGCTTTAAAAATCCCATTAGGCCAGGCACGGTGGCTCATACCTGTAATCCCAGCACTGTGGGAGGCTGAGGCTGGTGGATCACTTGAGTTCAGGAGTTTTGAGACCAGCCTGGCCAATATGGTGAAACCCCGTCTCTACTAAAAATACAAAAATTAGCCGGGCATGGTGGTGTGCACCTGTAATCCCAGCTGCTCAGAAGGCTGAGGCAAGAGAATCGCTTGAACCCGGGAGGTGGAGGTTGCAGTGAGCTGAGATCACACTACAGCACTCCAGCCTTGGTGACTCAGTGACACCCTGTTTCAAAAAACAAAAAACAAAAAACAAAACCCAAAACCCCATTCAAGGGTGCAGCTCTGGCCTGATGTTAGTGCTTCTCAACTCCAGCTGTTGCACACTACAGTCACCTGTGGAGCCTAAGCCACATCCATACCGATTACACCATAGTCTCTGCGGGGAGTGGGGACAGACACTAGTAATTTCTAAATCTCTCCAGGGGATTCTAATGTCAGGGGATTCTAATGTGGAACCAAGGTTGAGAGGCTAGGCTCTCTCTCTGCACTACTCATAGAGGAGGGTGGCAGGCACTGTCATTAATTACCTGAGAGACTGGTTAGGAAAGCTGAGTTCCTGGGCCCCACCCCAGAATGACTGCATCAGAAGCTGTATGGCAACAAGGCCCCTGGGTGATTCTGGGGCATCCAGAATCCCTGCTCTAAAAGAAGTCCAAGCCCTACTGCTCACTGGGAGCAGTGGCTTCTCATGACCACCAGGTGGCTCAGGAAGCCAGGGCCTAAAGACCAGGCTGCCTGGAACCAAATCTTCCCTTCCAGAGCAGGGAAGGATGTGGATCTCTCCGAGAGGCAATTACAAGTTCCTCTTAGAAAAGTTCTTTTAAGTAGTTATTCTTTTGTGTATAAAGAGGCAAAATAACACTATGTAGTGATACATAAAAAATAGTAACGTCTGTGGGGGTTGGGTGGAAAACAAGCATGTAGGAGACAGGAGGACTCAGGATTTTCAATGTATGCCTCTTTATACTCGTTTTTCCTTTGTTTTTTGAGACGTAGTCTTGCTCTGTTGCCCAGGCTGGAGTGCAGTGGCGCGATCTAGGCTCACTGCAAGCTCTGCCTCCCAGGTTCACGCCATTCTTCTGCCTCAGCCTTGTTTTTCCTTTTTTAAGCCCAGTGACTGTATTACCATTTCAAAAAGTTAAAAAAAAGTAACACCAACAAAAACCTTTGAAAACCATCCCAGCCCCTTCTTAGGGAATATGGGATACTGGTCCCAAATCAACAGAGGACAAGCAGTTCACAGAAATCACAGGAGGTGGGCAGTGGCCTTTCAGGTTATGGCCATGCTGCAGAGAAAGTGCTGGTCAAATTTCACCACTGGCCAGAGACTCCACAAACTGAAGTTTACTCATTTCATACTCAATTCCCACTTCACTTACCTCCAATTTCACCACAATAACCCTGTAAGGAAGGATTTTGGGCTGAGCCAGTAGGATGGGACCTGGATCACTCTGAAAGTTTCCTTGAGGGCTTTAATGATGCCAGGTGAGAATAGTTCTCTGGATGAGAAGTGCTGAGCTCCCCAGAGCAAATCTCAAGGGCTGCCTGAAAAGGCTGCCAGCACTCCTATGTTGGGGGGCATCATGCACCAAGGTCTCATCTGCCCCAAGCCTATGTGCCAGCTCATTACTGAGCAACACGTCCCTTGTTGCTGTAGACTTTTTAAAAACCAGTGGTCATGCTAATGGAAAGGGTCAGGGTCAGTTTCCTTCTTGCTGGAAGCAAGTAGGCAGCCTTCAGACAGAACAGAGAGTAGACAGGAGAGTTGACCTTATGATCCTACTTTTTAAAAAGTTCACAACATCCAAGAGGAAAGTCTCACCGTACAAGTCACTAGGAACTGAAACTATCTTTGCTCAAACTGTTGGCCATGAGCCACATACCAACATAATGCGGATAAAACATTCAGAAGTCCATTCTAAACTCTCAGGAGTACATTACACCCATAGTTTCATGAGCTCAATGTGCTTTCCAAGTCCCAGTGGGTAGTCGGAAGAAATATGAAGTTGAGATTTCACGTATCTTAGGGAGTTCTGGTGTGGAAAAACCCCTGCAGAACCCCCAAAACCAGTCCCCTGATTCTGTGTCTAGCCAGGGACAATGTTCCTTCATAAAGAAGAAACTCTTATCCAGCAAGAACCAGAAAGAAACATGAAAAAGAAAAGCAGAGTAACAGTGCTCTGGATCTGGTCTTCTAAGGAAACAAATGTACTACTAATGATCATGGAGATGGTTCTTTGGGTTGCAGACAATCCAAAGCCTCTGACCAGCGTCTGACTTTATTAGAAAACCAAGGCAGGGAGGCAAATGAATGTACTGGCAGAGTCCATTTAAGGAGGCCCTAGTAAATGATGCCCAAACAGAGGATCTGGGATGGCCTGGGGATTACTGGACAGTCACTTTAGTAAAGCTTACTATTCACCAAAGTCACTCCCACCGAATACTAGTTCTCCAAGATGTTCCCCTAAGAAAGGTTCTGAGGTTAAAAGAGTTTGGGACGTATTCCACATTATACATGACATTCCCTGCTTCAACAGTTACAAAGCACAGTGCCCATTAAAGGCTCTGAGAAGTTCTGCAGTAAAAAATAGAACAGTTTTTTTTCTTTTTTTTTTTTTTTTTTTTTTACAGGAAAGGCTGAGTTAAACCTTTTTGGCCATGGAACTCTTCTTCCACTTAAAATCCTGTTTGGGAAGCATTAAGTACATAATATCACACAAAGTGTCTTAAATTCCAAACTGGAGCACATGGCTCCTCTACCTAAAACCTTCAACACTGAAGCAATTTCAGTGTCACCTGGCCCCTGCTGGTTTCCTGGACCTCATCTTGTACCATGCTCACTTTCTTGCTCTCTCTCCTAAAAGCTGTCATTTCTGACTCAAGACCTTGACACAGGTGCCTCCTTCTGCCCAGAACCCACTCCTCCCCACCATCCCAGTGACTGCTCTTTCTCATCCACCTGCCTCTTCACAGAGGCTTTCCCTGAATCCCTCTGGCCTGTATATTTTCAGCTGTTTACTTGAAAACATGTTACCTCTAGGTTCAATTCCTGGCCCTACCACTAACTTGCTGCATGACACTGTATCTCAGTTTTGTCATCTATTAAAAAAAAAAACCACCACACACACAAAAACAAACAGGGGTGTGGGGGAGGGTATAATCATGGTCAACTGACAAGAGAATTGTGAATGTTAAGTATATCTAAGCTGTTTGGTGTATAGTTGGCTCTCAGTAAGTCTTGGTGATTGTTATTGTTTCCATTCTCTCACTTAGGACAAGCTATCATCTCCTTATTCTTCTGTAGACTAGTTTTTTTCTCCCCTCAGCCAATCCCAACTAGACTGTGAGTTCCATACACATAAGAGTCCTTCTGCTTTGAACCCCAGGACCCAGAACAACATGTAGTTGTGGAGTAAATGAATGAATGAATGAATGACAAGGCACCTTCTCAGGGCCAAAGGCCAGCTTCGTTTAGATAAGCATATCTTCATAACATCAGTCTCACAGGAAACAAAAGACAACGCAGCACTGTGTAAAGTCAGCTCCTCTCCCCAAGAACAACAGGCACTCACTTCCATAGCTGTGCATTCAGATGCTTCTCCACCATGAGGTTGAGGGCACAGCGAAGCCGGTTCCACCTGGAGTCAAACACGTAATAGCCTCTTCCAATCTGCCGGCTCCCAAATGTGCAAAACTGCAAGAGAGAACATAGCCGCGTGCTTGCTGACTCCTACACTGGCATGCCCAGTCAGGGTTCTCACTCCTTCAGGAAAGGAGCTAATCAGGAAAGACAGAACTGCCTCTGAGTACCGGAGGCAGTGAAGCATGAGAGTGACAATGCCTAGCCCTGAGTGTCATGGAAGAGAAAGGGAAAAAAGCATGAGATGTCCCCCATACAGAGTGCGTGCTGCCTCTGGGGCACCCTGTTCTGAGTTTCTCTCACACCTTGACCGCGTCCCACACATAATGGGCATGCCAAGATCCCTGGCGCGCCCCCCTGCAATGCCCTGTCCATGCTGTGTGGGGAGGGTCAATGCGGGGGTGGACGTGGAACTTACAGATGCTGGCTGAGGATGATGACCTGAATAATGACAGTCCAGTTTTTCAACAGACTCTTCTTTGTCATCGCCTTCGCCCTCCTCACTGGATAACCGAGAAGCTGGCTCAGTGGCAGGCAGGGGAGGGTGTGGAGATTCATGGACTGGAGGAGGGTCAATGGGGGCACTCCCACCTTGCTGAGCAGGGCAGCCTGGAGGCCTTGGTGAGTAGAAAGTGCAGCACGGATCAGATCACACACCTGGGAATCAGCCACCTTAACTGAGATACAACAACCTAGGGGAGGCCTGAGTTCCACCTGTAGCACTGGGGGAAAACAGATGCCGATCCAGGTGGCTTGGGATTAAAGGAACCCCTCTCCTGAACTGAAGGATGTTAAGTTCAGCTGTTTGCCAGATACAATCAAGGTAACTTAGAACGAATCCTTTCTATTGCCATTTGGGTGGTTCAGGTCCCTCTTCTATTCTCCCCCAAAGAAGGGGAAATACATATAGAATTTAACAGAATTCTTTGATTTCTCTTCAAATTTCAACTGGATTTGGTTTACTAAGACAATGAATGAAACACAGTCTTCTCTCCGTATCCATGGGGAATTGAGTCCAGGACCTCCCGGGGATAGCCAAATCTGCAAATCCACAAATGTACAAAGTGGCCTGATATAAAATGGTGTAGTATTTGCATAAAACCTATGCGCATCCTCCCATATACTTCAAATAATCTCTAGATTACTTTTAGTACCTAATACAATGTAAATGCTATGTAATGTACTGTTTAGGGAATACTGAGACAAGAAAAAAGCCTATACATGATCAGTATGACACAATTTTTCTTTCCCCAAATAGTTTCAATCTGCAATTGGTTTAAACCATAGATGTGAAACCCATGGATACAGAGGGCTGACTGTAATTCACAAAGTGCTCTAAGATAACCTAGGAGAGACAGGAGGTGATACAAGAATAAGGTGGTATTACCACTTTATGGGGATAGCCTACAGCCTCTTACTTAAGGCAGTATTTTTCCTACACCTATAGTGGCCTCTGGAATTAAGCTTACATTTTTCTAGATGCAAAAACTTCAACGAGAAGATGACCAAAGAAAGGACTTGGGGAGGAATCTCTGGCCAGGTCCTGACCACACTCTGAGGAGCCTCCTCTGATGGCTCCTCCAGCATACTGCATAGAAACCACAAAGCTCATGTTGGGACAGGCTCAAACAGACACCTGGGTTTCCATGAGGGAGGTGCTTCCACCTTTATGCAACCATTTTAAAGATCAGACACATGAGGGTGAAATGGTAAGCAATAGCAACCGAGGGCTGGCACATTCCTCAGCAGAAGCTCTTGCTGCCAATAAATGAACGGCTAACACGGAAGCCCCTCTTTCTCTACGCCTTTCTTTTTCCCTTCCCTCTGGAAACTAGGTACAGTCTTTACTTCAACTTGGTTCAGTATATAAGCACACACACACACATATTCCACCATCACTGTCTCTGAGGTATGTGTATAAGTTCTCATTAAAACACTCTGATTCACTGTTTACTCTGCTACTAAAATGCTAATACATGCTCGGGGCCAAAGCCCCAAATGAATGAATGAAAAAACACATTAATAAACGGATGCTGTAAAAACTCAGGCTGAATGCCTGTCCCCAGCAAGAATTCCCACTGCTATATAAAGACAAATGAAAGGGAAACTGCGGCCATAGCCAGTGAAGAGTTCCTGTCACTAACCCGCAGGAAAGACCAATTTCTGCCTGGTCAACAGGGTTGAGACACTTGATGTTGAGCAAGTATAGAGCAGATAACTCTAGCTTTATTTTGCTGCTTGCATTTACAACCAAGAGAAGCCCTGGTTGAAACTTACTGATGAACTCAACTTTCTTTTTTTTTTTTTTCCTAGTAAAACTCCCTTAAGAAAACTATCTCCACAGTGAGCCTGAGGTATGTTTCTCAACATCATGACCATACTGAGATTTTACAGTATGTGCAAGTCTCATCTCCGAAGGTGGAAGAGTTGGAGGGCTTGACTTACCTTGGAAGACTGGGGGTGTGAGGTTTAGGTTTACTAGCTACAAAAGGCTTTGATTCAGAAGGAATCACTCCGTGAGGGTTTTGGTGCGGCTCCTGTGACGTTCTAGGAGGGGCGGGATGCGGGTCCCTGAGAGGCTGCGGTGGTTGCTGAGAGTCCGGATGGCGAATCAATTCCTTTTCCCTGGTTTTGTTTTTGTGCTCGGCTAATAACACATCAAATCGCTTTCTTCTACCCTGGACAGCCCTGCGCTGGGTTAAGGAATGTGTCTGTGGACCAAAAAAATACAGAAACTGAAGAATCTCATAATTAATTTTTGGTCTGCCTTATATCCCCAAACACCACTCCCAATAAAAAAGCAACCTAGACCATAAGCATAGTGAAAGGGTACTCAGCATTTGATAAGCTAAAAACCTTAAGAGCCCAATATTTTCTCCCTAGCTAGACTAGAAGCATACATTCTAGGCTCTAAATGCAGAAGAATCTGGAAATCTTATTTCCATCAGAAGAAAGAAGAAATGTGAGCGGTGACACCTGGTATGTAACTAAGTGCAACCATTAGTGCCATATGACAAGTACTCACGTTTTGTGACACAATAGCAATTTGGATTTGGGGGCTCTTATCAACTCCATTAGAAAAACCCTTTGAACCATTTAAAATTTTGAATGTTAAAGGGAAGAAACAATTATTCCATAAAACATGTATCAGAAAGTGTTCTTTTAGTAACTTCCAGAGAATAAAAATTCAACGCAATTGCATCTCTCTTTTCCAATGAAAATGCCATGTAAAAACGTAAAGTGGCCCAAAGCATTCTGCAGACAGACTGCCACAGCCAAGAAGCACTGGACAGATGAGGCTGAGAAGAAATGCTATGAACAGGAAGGGAGACAAAGTAATCCCTATAGACAGACACTGGCTATGGAAATCAAGGAAATGGGATGGACAATACCCCTGGGTCTTCAGACAATGTCTAATTTCAAAATTAAGAAATGGGCACACAGAGGAAAAAGAAAAGTCAAATTATGGCAGTGTTTGTCTTAAGGCAACCAATACAAACCTGTGATTGAAGCAAATCTTGTAAGAAAATGTGCCTGTAGTCCAAACACATTTCATAGTTACTGGCATTAAAACAAAACAAAACAAATAAGCCTAATACTACTGCTAACAGAAGATACAGTCGAATGTACCAGTGTAAACTGGTCAGAGTTGGGCAAATCTTATCGGCAGTCAAGTCCAATTACTCAAGTTAAACCTGACCATTCCATACTGCTGAGATCTCAGTCTGTAAAAATGCAAGGAGATGCTAATCCTGAGGAATGGACGAGTTTACATAAGCTACAGTGGCCCCAATCACATATCCATAAACATACACGAATTTACCTACGTTTCCTTCTTTTATATTACAAAATACTGTAAATGTGTGCATACCCCTATACATAATACAAATGTATTGGCATATTTGCTACAACTTTAGGGACTTAAAAAGGGAATTATGCTTCTAACTACCATTTTCAGTTGAATAACACAACCCACCTCCTTACGAGACACACCGCAAACTATGTCTACCTAAATAATCTAACCTGGCACAGATAAATGTGTTTAGCTTTTTACATTTTTACTTGATTTTCTTTAATATGAAAAATATCCATAAGAAAGTAACCTAAATGAAGACAAGGAACTTTGTTTTGTTTGTGTTGTACCAGCTTCTAGAAGAATACCTGGCACTCAAATGCTTTGAACAAAAGGTTTATAAAAATAATGGCCCTCCAACATGCGTTGAAAGAACAAATGAACATACATTACTGGTCCACCTGCCTGTCTCTACAATCAGATGTATAAACCTCTCCTCAGCCTGAATGTCCCCAGTGCCTAGCACAGTACAGCCAAATGAAGAAAGCAGGCAGATACATTTTCCCAGCTCAGTTTGAAGAGTAAGTAGGGTTTCCACTGAGCTGTGAAGAACATTCCAAACAGAAATCTGATAGAGGTTGCCCAAGGCTCACAGGATAAAGACTGACTGTGTAACTAGGCTCCGGGGCCCTGCACACTCTTAAGACCCTTGCTTACTGATCCCTGCTCCTTTGGTCCTGCGTACCTCTTCCTCCCTCTTTCTGTTCAGCCATCTGGTTGGCTTTAAGGTTCTAAGGAATTTGCTCTGTCCCTGTCACAGAGCCTTCACACATATTGTTTCCTCCACCTCTCCTACCTCTCCCATCCCTCTCTGCCCAGATAAATCATCATATTGATTTCAGCCCAATGTTCCTATGGCAAGAAAGCCTTCCCTGGCCAAACTTCATTTTTGCAGGCTTTCATAATGTAGTCCTCTCATCTTTTTATAACTAATCAGTGGTAATTTTACACTTATTTTGGTGATCAATAATCTCCATCTCTTTCATCAGACTGTAAGCGCCACAAGTACAGGGAACATGCGGTTATTGTGCTAAACCCTTTATTCCCTGGGACCTAGAATGAGCGAGGTCGGTGTTCACAGATGTATGTAATAAAAAGTTCTACAATGAGTGAATGGACAAAGGCTACAGGAGTCACAAATCTCTCTGCATGGAAGGCAAAGAGGAAATTCGACGGGATATTAGACAGATGAAGAAGTGAGGAGGGGCAGTAAGGGTGGCAGACGGACAACAGAGAATGAGTAATGGGAACGAAGAGCAGCAAATCCCCTGATGGTAAAGAGAACAGATAACGTTCTAAGTCTAAGACAGAAGACACCTGGCAGCAACTTGGGAAACACTCAGGGTAGGGACACGCAGGCATGTTTAGCCCTACCGAGCTTAATAGATTCAGACCAAAGTGAAGGCAAGGAAAAGGAAAAGAACTGACTAAACAATGAAAAAAAGTCAACGCATCCTGTAAAAGGGCAGGCCTGGTGGATGCTGCATTTTCTGCTAGTTCTATGCCGATCTCATGACGAGCTGGGTCTGAAGACATATTAATGCAATAACAGGCTTAGCCCAATGCCACAGAGTGTAATGACACCCTTAAAGAAGGACAAGGGGAGCACATATCATTTGAAAAGGAAGATGGGAGAAAAATGCAGACCCATTCAAAGTCAGTCCACCTAGCAATAAAGGCACAGGAAGAATGTTTGTCAAGCTCCTTGAAGATTTTGAGTCAAAAAAAAAAAAAAAAAAAAAAGTTTGGCAACCTCACTTCTGGGTATTTATCCAAAATAACTGAAATCAGAATTTCAAAGAGCTATTAGAACTCCTATTTTCACTGAAGTACTAGTTACAATAGACAAGATGTAGAAAAAATATAAATGTCTGTCAACAGGTGACTGGATGAAGGCAACGCAGTATATACATACACTGGAATATTATTCAGCCCTTAAAAAGAAGGAAATTCTGCTATATGCTACAACAAGTGTGAACCTTGAGGACATTATACTAAGATAAATAACCCAGTCACAGAAATATTAAACACTGCATGATTCCACTTATATGAGCTCTAAAATCAAACTCACAGACTCAAAGACTAGAGTGGTGGTTGCCAGCAGCTGAAGGGAGAGGGAAATAGGGAGTTACTAATCAATGAGCGTAAAGTTTCAGTTATAGCAAGACGAACAAGTTCTAGACATCTGCTGTACAATATTCTATCACAGTCAACAATACTGTCTTGCACGCTTGAAAAGTTGTTACAAGAGGAGATCTCAAGTTAAGTGTTCTCATCACAACAAAATTTAAAAGAAAGAAAAAAGGTGTGGTTCCCTGCCACGCTTTGTAAACGACTGAAAAAGAACATCTTGGGTTTGAGAAAAGCAAACCTCATTGCCCACAGGTACTATATTACTGAGAAATCCATGTTACTGAGAGCCAGGGAGGCAGGAAGAAGGCAAAAGGAGAATGGCAAGTTGTGATCATGATGTGGACAGGGTTGAGGCATGCTTTCACACATTCTCTCAGGGGCAGCTGAAACTGACATAATTCTACAGAGCTCAGATGGCTATCTTCATACACCACCCCGACTACACCACTGTGTGTCCAATTAGTACCCTATACAAAACAAAAGCAGTTTAAGAGAGTTTTTAACCTAGAAATCCAAGGATGGGCTTGGGGTGGGGGTATCCATTAATCCAAGATAAAAATTCAGAATGTATATGTATATGCACTATTTTATTCTGGAAAGATGGACCGTGTTTTTTTTTTTTTTAAATGAGATATTTGAAGGCACTCTTGACCAATCCTTTTCCCCAAAAAGGTTCTGAACCACTGCTGTAAGACAAAATCTATACACTAAAATTAAATTAGAAGCTTAAATTAAAGTAAGAACCATTTAAAAATTTCCCACTCCAGAAGACTGTAACATGCCTCCACTGGGTGGGGCCTGGGGCAGGGCCTGAAGTCCTTTATTCAAATACACTTTAATAAAATCTAAAATAAAACACTAAACCATTTTATTAATTTTTAGAAGAAAACGCTAACTTTTATCATTTTTACCCCCTCCCTCTAAGGTTTTAAAATTACACACTTCAAAGCAGTGATTCTGAATGCTTCTTGAACCTTTCTGGGGGGTAGCTGGGGACACCCTCCAGAGAAATGCACATCAACACATAAGCTCATTTATGTAGAGGTGTTCACTGATGACCTGAAGCCACCCCCCACATCAATAACCCTTACTTTTCAGCAAATATACCTTATTAATATACTGGCATTTTAAAGGAAATAAGGAAGACCCCAGAGCAAAAAGGAAGACCATTACATTTTCTTAGCTTGTGTATAAATTATTTATATATTTTATCTAGTTTTTTCTCTTAAAACAGATGGGTCTCATAATGTTGTCCAGGCCGGACTCGAACGCCTAGGCTCAAGCAACCCTTCTGCCTCAGCCTCCCCACTAGCTGGGACTTACAGGCACGCCTGGCTTGCAGTATTTTTTTTTTTAAACTAGAAAACAGGGCTATCTCAAAGTCACAGATTTTTTTAAAACGTGGTTTTTTAAAATTTAAGAACCATGGGTGACACATTTGTTAAATGTTCATACACATGCAAAGGAAATTTCTAGACTTAAGTCAGTATAATTTACAGCACAGTCAAGGGTAGCCTCTCATATTACATTTCCATATGGAAATATTAAAAGTCTTTAAAAATAACAGACTGACTTGGAAAGAACACTATTCCTGTGGATACAACACTGCTCAACAGAAACAAAACCTCTGTCAAGATTGTAATTTATAACAACACACTTCACATTTTGTCAATCTGAGGCTTTCTTCCAAGTTATTCCTTCACCTACACAATTCAGAACAATCCACAGAGCATCCTCTCTGGGTCAGAGAGACTTTGCGAGCAGTGTGGTACATCCCGGTCACCCATGTTTATCAGGATAGTTGGCTTGACTTTCAGAAGTCCACCCACCTTGCATGTCAAAGACCGGGTGCAGGGTTTCTTGGTATCGAGATCAATAACCCCACAGTGGATGTCAGGATCAAACTCTCTTTCTGTCAAAAGAACACAGGCATTACATGTGGCCTGACAAACTCTCCTCCATGTATTTTGTAAGTAAGAAAATAGAAGAAATCAACAGTTAGACAAATTATAGCTGGAATAAAATCCACATTATCAATAAATAAAAATATATACAATGTGTGAGCGCCGCAACAAAGCAGCAACATCACTAAGATGGGGTGACTATTACCATCAGATGACAGAAAAGATATTAAGTATTACTTCCTTCAGAAATACACCACTAGAAAGCTACTTTTACATGACCTACACACATACACTCTCATGCTCTTTAAAAACCAAGAGTGAAGAGAACAAACACATTAACTAAGGAACTTCCTCCTAAAGCTGAAGGTGACCAGTTTTAAAAATAGGAATTCTAGACTGCAGTTGATTTGCTCCCCATGAATGCCCATTTAATGCTCTCTCTATATAGAGAAGCATTATGAAGAAAGAAAATTTGAAGTTACCTGATAATCTCTTATTTAAAAATTTCCTATTATTGGAATTGTCTTCAGGTTTCTTTTCCAGAGAGAGTGGTGCAGGAAGCCCTTTGCCATTCAGAATCTGTCCAGGTGAAGGCAAGGTTGGCTTTGGTATTGAGGGGCAGTTAAGGCCAGGCTTGACTAAGGAACTCACAGTAGCAGGACAGGTTGGCCCCACCGCAGATTTCAGTAGTGTGCCATCCATTTTCGGATGAATCTTTTCCACTTTCACAGAGGGCGTCATGCTGTCATAGGACAAAGTGAGAAAACCAGTGACTGAGTGCCTCAGCAGCCCCCAGGTGAATGGTGAGCCAGAGGGATGAGGGTAGAGCCTGGGCCTACCCAAGCGCTGCACAGGGCCAGCCTCTTAGAAGGCTCCTTATGAATTCTGTTAGTAAGGTTCATATATATTAAGCCTATAAGCCCTTCTGGTGAGGCAAAACCCTCAGTGGACCATCAGATTTGCCTGGTCTTTTATCATTTCAAAAAATTTTACACAGGAGCCAATGGGAGACTTAGACCTGATACCCAATGCAGCAATGCAATTTTTATAAGAAGCAAAACATGAGAAGGTCTAAAAGAACCAAAGACTATCTGCAGAACCCTTAGAGACTATCTTTTGAGGACTGCCATTTGTAATAAAGGATTCATCAAAACAAAGTAAACTTCTGAGTGAGCAAATATTTCCAATAAATGTCACTACAGACTTATGAGAACTCAAACATGCTTAATAACATATCTCCAAGAGGAGGTTCTTTGCTTCTGTCAATAAGGGAGACTAGTGTTTAATAAATATATGTTGTGTCACTAAAGTGGTAATTCTCCAGCCCTTGAAAAATGTTTCTATGACAGGAGCTTAGGGAATACCTGTGCCACTAACAAAGGAATGAATCTTGGAATCTTATTGACACTATCATTTTGCTTGGTAAAACTGAAAATACTGGTAGGAAGCTAACTACTGGCCTGGTTCCTATCTAAAGGCCTAGCTCTAAGTAAAGAAGATTTGAATCAATGTGGTTGTATAAACTTTGTTCAGTGGAGTCAGTGCTCTAACAGCTGTTAAGCTAGCCAGTGACTTATACACTACCACTGGTACCTTTTTTGGCTTTCGGACAGCTCCCAGAACAAAAACCAAGCTTGCTATACTGTACTTCTGACAGAAGAACAGGGGCTGGGGGCTTAGCAACCAGGACAAACAGCCCCAAACAGCTGTACCTGGAATAGCCTGAGAGCAGTAGAGAGACTGCAAGATGTCACATCCTCTCCCAGCTGGCAAGGTCCTTAGGCAGCAGCAGGTGCTGGACCCTGCCCTGAGATTAACCAGGTTACCAGATCTTGGATCTACGATGTGTGCTATACCCTCCAAAGGCAGGTTGGCCTGAGAAAAGCCATCCGCCACTTGGCTGAGGGATACCCCAACAATGCGAAGTATGTTTCTATTGGAGTGCATGGCTGTTCCCTCACGTGACCTCAAGAAGCCTGCCAATCTACTGAGTGACCATAGAAACTTGCCAAAGACATGCCTGGAAAGTGTGAACTTCCTTCAGTCTTCCCTCATCACTGCTGTGATGTGAACCTAAGGCTGAAGGGAGGAAGCACTGCTTCCCTATTTGCTCTGCAGATCCCAGAAAATTCTACAGTGGCATTTAGGAATCTCTGCATCTTTTTATCATTACTATTACCAATAGCAGCAGTAGCAGGAGTGCCAGTATCCATTTGTTAACCGTCTCCTATGGCCAGAGACTATGCCAGGTGCTAGACATATATTAACTAGAATATTCTCAATAACCCAGCACAGTGGCTGTTATTCTTAGACTCAGAGAGAAACCATGCCTTGCCCAAACCCCTACAGCTAAGAAGTGACAGACGTGGGACATAAATCCAGGCCTATGTGACTTAAGGCCTTCTTGGACAAAACTCCCCCACCTCATGAAGCTTCCTTCTCCTCATCTGGAAAACGAGGATAGTAACAGTACCTATTCCATAGGGTTGTTGTGATAAGTGACATAGCATACACACAGAGTTAGGTTTCAGCAGCTAGCACACAAGAATGGATCAATAAATATTAGTAACCTTATTATCATTGCTATTACTACTCTGAAAAGTTTCCTATGACATGATAGGGAAACATCAAGAAACAATATAACACACATTTGAATTCTTTCCCAAGTGGGCTCTCTTCTATATTATTCACAGGCACTCTCGGATGCCACTGGTGTACACAGCTCTATTTCCAGCAGGTAAGCTTTAAAAACCCTCTTGGCCATACTCACATTCTACCATGGGGGACTCTACTTTGCTGAATGGGATGCATTGGCCTGGTGTTCCCCCTGAGCTGCAGTTTCTCTTTGGGTGATTTCAACAACTTGGAACTCGATGAGGATGCGCTAAGAACACCTCCACTGGAAGAACGGTTACTTCCACTTGCACTGCCTCCTTTGCTTTTGGACAGAGAAGGGAAGAAGGAAAATACTGAAGTGGGAGGAACGGCCAAAGAAGGCTTGCTGGATGAGCTATGTCTTCTTTCTGAAAAGGAAAATGAAGAAAAAAAGATACCATGTTTCAGGCAAATCTCGAATATAATTCTGGAAGAATTCCCTGAAATCAATATATTCAGGTTAAAACACGTATCATTAAGTGAAGATATGTTAAACTCAGCAGCCTTCAGAAATGGCTCATCTAAGCTCCACAGACTTACTTAACATTCTAGGAACGGGTCCTTCTGTTTCTGAAGTACCTCAGCATAAAGCGTTTTATCACATCAGGAAATTAAACAACCATCGTAAACATGAGAATATTGCCTTTTGGCAATATTCATTGCATGCTAGCAATGAACCTCATTGGCTCCAACTTGCACTGACAGAGAGGAAAATTATTCATTCATCTGCAGAGCTCTGCTAATTGACACTGCAAGCAATTCTTCCTTCCTTTCTAACATAGCACCTCTCTGATTTTCAAAATAGCAAAATCTTAAGAAACAAGTTGTACCTTCTTTTTTTTCCCTGTCACTACCCACCAGCATATGACACAAATAAGAATGTTTCTAGGGTTATCTTATCGTTCCCTAAGAATTTGTGCTGAAATTTTCCAGTGAATCATTTCACTTCCCACCCCCCTTTTTTTAATAATCTCACTTGACTACAGATGGCATAGCTCTGGTTCACACCACTAAGATGCCAAAGGCGCAAGACAAAAATACCACAAATAGCTACGCCTGTTTTTTAAACCAGGAAGTAATTCATGGTTAAGTATAGACTACAAAGGTTTAGCTGAAAATAAATCTATCCACTGGAGAATCAGGTTTTCTTAGAGTAAGGTAATCCATACTAACATAAATCAAGAGCTACTGAAGAATGTTACCATCAGAAACAAATAAATTATTTGGTAACTTTATCCGCTCAAGTACCTTAGTGGCTGCCTTTAATTAATTAATTTAAAATTACACATTTGCTTAACTCTAAGTTTTAAAATGCATGTGATCCAACATTGACTTATCACAATACAGGAGCTATATGAGTATTTAAAACATTAGGCACATGATAATCAGTGACCACAAGTAAGACTTCAATGGTTTATTTCCAAAGATCTTCTTATAGCAGTCCTGAGTTTATTGGTAAAACTGTGGTGACTTATTTCTGGAAGGGCATTACTTCAATGATATACTTCAATGATAGCTTATGAAGTACTTAAGAGTGTGTTCCACACCAGGACAAAATTATTATCCTAGCTATCTACAGACAAAATTCAAATTTCTGTTCTCCAACTCAACTACACAAAGGCTACAATCAAGTTAGGAAGGTTAAATTAATAGTGATTTATAAGTGCCTTTTGCTTTTTGTTCATTCCAAAATGAAAGTTGTGTATAAGGAAGAAAAAACTAAAATAAATTCAGTTTAACAGTTTTCCAAATTTGGCATCTGAAGATTTTTTTTAAATTTAGTTTTTCTCTCTTTTATGATCCCAAAACACTCTGAACATACTTTTAAGCATCAGCACTTGTCAGCCAGGATTGTAAACATGCGTTTGCATTTGTCACCTGCCTTAGACGATACAGCTTCTGTGGGCCATGTCTCCATCGTCTTTCTCTGTAAGGCATGGGACAGAGGTCTTCAATTAACTTCTGCATGACTAGTAAAGCTTTTCTTGTGAAAAGGAGTGATTTTTAGAAGGCCCTAGACCAGTGGCTGTCAACTTGGCTACCGACTGGAATAACATAGGGAGCTTTAGAAACACTGATGCATAGGTTCCTCCCTCAGAGACTGTGATTTAATTGGTTTGGGGTGTGGACTAGGCATCCAGAGTTTTGACAAGTTTCCCTGTCTGATTCTACTGTGCAGCCACAGTTGAGACACTACAGTAGACTAGGCTAATGCCTCAAGAACCATTAACCACAGCTGAGTAAATTAGCATGTGCATGGCACTGAGAATACTGTCTGCTACAAGGCACTAAAGGGTTTGTCAAATGAAGCTCGCCACTACTACTTGTCCTCAATTAGTGTTTTCCAAACTTTCATCAACTGCAAACTATTTTCATCGTTCTTACCAAAGCTACATAAAATACTATTTTTTTAAACTCAACATTTTAATTTACATTATCAATTCTATTATCTCCTCCTCCTCCTCCTCTTTACTCTAATACTAACCAGTCTCTCATGGGGACATCATTGGTATTTTGGACAGGACAGTTCTTCATACAGGATTTCAGAATGGTTAGCATTCCTAGTCTCCTACTGCTTCTTCACCAGTAGTGCCCATCTGCCAAAGACAACCTGAAACCACCTCCCAATCCATTTCCAGATGGGCCCCAGGATGAAGCAGGGCACCTCTACCCTCAGCTGAGATAGGTTTTTCCAAAACAATAGTATCTGTGAAACAGTAAGTTCAATAAGCTTATTATATAAACTAAACATTAAAATATTCATCCATGTTTATCTACAAAAATCACCTTGTGTACCCCCTGAAACAGTGCACTAAAGGATGGGCATGTCTGTGATATGAAGAAGACAGAGAAAACCCTCAACTAGAACTTTAACTTTTAAGAAGTACACTCTAGGTATCAGAATTCTCAAGCAGGTGTCTCAGAGCAAATGTGTGATGTATTTTCTTTGAAGATCAAATGATTAGATAAAATTCTCAATCAAATTAAATACCCTCAGTTCCGCTATGAAGCCTGTTTTGAGAATGCAAATGTATTCCAAAGCCACCGATACAGTAAGAAACAATTTGAACATATTGAAATTTTGCATTCACTTTTTCATGATTTTTGTCTGAAAGAAATACCAGGTGAACACAGAAAACTATACCTGGCTGAAATGAGCCACATGGGAAAACACAAAATGCACACTCCCTCAACCTTCCACCATCTACCTCGTTCACCACCATGGGTGTTATTAACCACACCCAAACACATCTGATGCTACAATTTGTTATCCAATTTCAGATAACCTCCTTCCATCACTTCACAGTCAAGCTGCAACCCTTCTCACGCCTTCCACAAGCAAATGCCAGGTCTTTTCAAGGTAACTGCCATGTTTATTCTAGTATTTATGTTTTTTTTTTTTTTTTTTGAGCATTTAACATTTGTAAGACTGTGCTACCCTTTTCATTAGGTTCCTATGTTTTTCTGTGTGTGTCACTGATGAGGTCTTTGAATGTTGTGCCATTACCCCGTTTTCCCAATAAGCCTCATGTGGTTTTTGTTGCGTAATGTTGCATTGTGCAGTAATTTTTTAGGAATGCATGTTGTGTTATAGCAGAACTAACTGTAACTTTAAGCTTGTCCTTCCAATTTTCTATTCCCATCATTGTCCACCCTCCCCCTGTTTTCTTTGGTTAAAATCTTCTTTTCTTATCTATTAACTCTTAATATGGGATTCAGCACTAGAAAATCAAGGTTCAAAGCTTCCTAACATTAAAAGTCTACTGATATATCGATAATATTTCAAAAAAATTCTATTTTCTACTTCAGTAACAATAAAAACTATTTAAAAACTAAGAATGACAATCTATCATGTGAATTTTTCATTCACTAAAATTTAAAACAGATTGTGTGTGTGTAGTGTGTGTAAGTAACTGAGATTCTGGCTGAAAAGTGTCAGCTCAAATTCTTGTCATGCTACTGAATTAAGCTGTTCCTTAACATCATGGACTGGTAACTTATTCTGTGAAAAGGACAGCATCTGGCTTTCCCCCGACAAGAAAGCAAGAAGGAAAAACCAAATTTAATTATAGTTGAGTTGGACTCCCCTTATCCTTCCACTGTGAGTTCTTATTTTTCATAAGATTCTAAACTGGGCATCTAGCTTTAAAAAAGTGTTTGCTCCCAGATCAGAAGAGAAGTGGGCAAATTATAGGTGGGGTTAGGGACCCTATATTAAGTGGACAAAGCGGTGGCCAGATGCTGAGAACAACTGCAATATGGTCTGCTGAGGAGGCCAAGTTGAGTTTTCAAAGCGCTCCTCTCTCCAGGATCTGGCACCAGCCCAGAGAGAGCACACTCTGTCCCTGAATGAGGAGGGCATGATGAATGGCTCCACCAAGGGAGAGACAGGCCGACTGACAGACAAGTATAGACACAAGGAAAGAGCAGAGACAAGGAAAGACAAACATGCCTAAGTGTGTACGTGTGTGTTGTGCTGGGGAGAAGCGAGGGAGATGGAGTTTCATGAGGCTCTTTTCCCTTGTGGCTTTAATACGTCACATGGCAAGGGCAGGATATTAGTGGGTATAGGAGGGTGGACAGCTCTGTATAGGTCTTCCAAAATGGAATGCAACCGAGAATACTAAGCTTATAATTCTGAATTCATTCTGGGATTTAAAAAAAAATTTTAAGTATTAACACCCAGGTACACACCAAAAAGGAGTTCAAAGCAAATAATTAGATCTTTTTATATCATAAATATTGCTTTGAAAACAACTAAAAATAATTTATAATGAGCAAGTGTCAAAATTAGGGCACAAATCTAAACAGCAGTCAAAACAAATTGTAACTCCAAATGCTAACATTCATACTTGAAAATAATCTAGAAGGATATATGTCAAGCTTTTTAAAAAGTGGTTATTCCTGGGATTATAGCTCTATTTTTTAAAACATTTGTGTATTGTTTTTCTACAATGAATACAGTTTACTCGGTTATTAAATACATACTTCTAAAGAAGAAAAATCTGGTGTTCTGGTCTCAATTTTATATATGCCAAAATAAAGCAAGGCATACTATCATTCCTGAGCACAGTATCAATTTGTCCTATTCTCAACGGGTATCATGCAAGTGGCTAACTACTAAGAAACCCCCACAGAACCTGAATTAAATATCCTCAGTTCTGCTATAAAGCTTGTTTTGAGAATGCAAAAGCATTCCAAAACCACCGATATACTAAGAAACAATTTGAACATATTGAAATTTTGCATTCACTTTTCATGATTTTTATCTGTAAGAAATACCAGGTGAACACAGAAAACTGGCTGAAATGAGCCACGTGGGAAGATTCAAAATGCACACCCCTCAAACTTCTACCATCTACCTCAG